AGCTTGTAAAAATATTGATTGGCTTGATATGAATACAGTTTATTCATTAACCATTCAGAAAACTCAGTTGGCATCTATTATAACAGATTTTTAGTTTGAAAGTAAATTTGATATTGATTTTTGCTGATGGATTTTTGAATATCTTACTGACTTTATTATATGCTGGTTTACAAAAAAAAAAAAATTTTTTTTTATGTATGTAAAAATTCAGACATAAATAAAATACACACAAACACAGTTTTGTAAAACATTCTGGTGACATTTTTTAAGATGAAATGAAAAAGAACTATAAACTGATTAAAAATTACTAGTTAGTTGCACAAAAGAGAGCCATGCAATCAGAGACAACTGAATACTGAAAAGGGTTTTTTTTTTTTTGGTAGTGGTCAGAATAAATATCATTTAGCAGAGAATAAAACCATTTCAAAATCCCAAATATTCAACCTTTTCCACACTGCATTATTAATATTACTTCCTTTATCAATTGAATTCTTTTTCAAGGCCTCACAAGAGCAGTATCCTTATTGTTAATTTCACTCAAATTTGTTTTTTGTTACCATAGCAGGATAAGATAACACAACTATTATTCAGGTATCCGAGTCACCAGACAGAAGAAACTTTTTGTACAGCAAATGAAGTCACAGACAAAGTGATAAAGGTTAAGTAGGATTAATAGAGAAAAAAAATGCATGCAATTTTTTTTTTTTCATTTCAAGTTTTAAACAAACAGTGCAAATTAATGATGGAAGAGTTAGGATAAAATGCCAGAACCAATATCAGAAATTCATTTGAGGGTTTGGGGATAAGCCAACAAGAATGTGAGTAGATATAAAATGTGAAATACTAAATTGGAGAGCTGGGGTGGAGAGATTGTTTGGTACAAGACATAAATAAATGTTGATGGCATCAAGAAGAACAAGCCCCTCCCGCCAAGTGTTTAATTTTATTTTTATATATTTGCTATACCAATTTAGTTGCATTAGGAAATACTTTTCTTCACTGCTCATTAATTTGTATTGATAGGTATAGAATTTCCCTTTAGAAGAAACCAATTACAAAAAGAAAGATAAGTACAACCATAATGACATTCCCTGTGGAAATTGTGGGCTGAGGGCAAATATTGACAAAAATAAGGTGAATCACTTGAATAAAGAGGCTAAAAATAAATACAGTTATTGGTGATTTGGGAATGTAAAGATATCAAAGTATTTGTTATCATTGGCACCTGCATTCAAAATTAAGGCAAGCAGAATTTCCTAAAATGGATATAATATCCATTTTAGGAAATTAAAAAAATAAAAAAATATAATAAATATAATTATCCCATTCAAAACAACTTCAATCCATCCATACTGTTAGGAAAGAAATAATGCATAAAGAAGCCATAAAGAAATTTCAAATAAAAAGTTATTCCATTAAATATGAACTTCCACCTCTCATGATGGATGGATGGGTGTTCACGCAAGGAGACTTGATGCCACGAACATCTATTGGAACTCAAGCCTATTCTAGATTTCAGATGTTGTATATCCAATCTATTGCTAAAGATTCTGGAAAAAATGGCCGATTCATTTTCTTCTTGATTATTATTACTAATTTTAGTTATATTTTCCTTGAAAGGGTATTTTTTTCTTCTGATTCCTGTTCTTCAGTTTTCTTTTTTTGCAGTGGATCTATGGACTGCTCTATGCAATCCGTACATAAGACAGACTTCTTACATTCACATCAATGTCTCAAGGTTTACACATTTATCTAAATTTTAATTTCATTTGTTAAATGTTAGATCAGTGGCATATCCTATTCTCTTTGTTTACAATACTGATGTATATGTTGGTCTGAATTGGGTGGCTTCATTCAAGTTCAAAGACCTAAAGAATTTAACATTTCGTTAATGTCAATAAAATTCATCTCTATAACTTATTGTTTACAATCATTCATTTTTACATGCCAATTCTGAATTTCTCGAATATACTAATCAATCAGGGCTGTGAAGTCGGAACACAAAACCTTTGACTTCGACACTGACTCCTCGATTTTTGACACCTCCAGCTCCTCCTTATGTAAATAAAGTGATTATGGTCCACAAATCTCAAAGCCTATGCATACATTCCTAACTTGAGTAAGCCTATATCATTATAACTGGTTTATATCAAAGAATAAAGATATCATGGCTTTTATATCATACCTATTTATTCTTCAATATTTTCTAACAAAATTAGAGACAAAATCTTTGAAGGAATATAGAAGAAATAAAACTGCTATAATGCAAGACTTTACACACAAACAATATATATATATATATATATATATATATATATATATATATATATATATATATTATAAATAAGAAATAAGTACAGAACAAAAATATAACTACTTTATAAAAGAAGTTGAAATATCTTTTACAGGATGTAAAAGACATAACAAAAATAAAAATCCTATAATGTATGATTTTTTTTTACATAATTAGTTTTGCAAATACAAAATAACTACAAAAAAATAAAATGACCTTAAAAAAGTTGAGATGAATTTCTTTAAAAGAAATAGTAAATATACAATAGAAGATAATAAAAATAAAAATTCTATAATGTAAGACTTTTTACATAAAGTGTAAATTCAACTGGAGTCGGAGTCAGTATAGCTCTACTGACTCCAGTGACTCCTTAATTGATTCAGACTCCACAGCCCTGTAACCAATGAAAACTGTTTCATACTAGAAAAGAAAAAAATGAACAAAGAAACATTGTAGAAATTACAAAATAAAATTATCCCAATAAATATGACAGGTTATAGGGGGATTTAGAGAAATATCAAGTATAATCTTATCCATTTTTTGTTATGTATCATGGTCATTGTAGTGAATTGCCTTTTTAAAACTGTTAGTAATTTTTATGTTATTGTGATAACAAAGATGAGGACTATAATCCACATGTAAATCTCATCCCAGAAATTCAGACTGAAATTGATAATTGCTATTGAAAATAAACACATTTCTTGTTTCAAATTAAATAAATGGCTTGTCTTAAACAATTATGAATTACATGCCTCTGATCAAGTGCTTATGTATGGGTGTGGTTGGTGGAGGATTGAATACCTGGTTAGCATGTGGCAGGTGAAGATCATATTCCACCCTCTACTTTTTGTCATTCTTTACTTCTTCCTCTTGCCACCATCACTAAGTTTATTTTTCTACAGCACCGATCGCTGTTGATGACATTAATACATAACCTCAGAAGCAGCACATGACCTAAGATGGTATACATCAAAAATGTCAGTACCATTCATACAAGATTTAATGCAACTATGTGACAAGGTAAGATAAATACTGCTTTCATCACACCATGTACACATGAATATGAAACTAGGTTAATAGTTTTCAAAAGGATTTTGAATGCTGAAATTTATATTATCCTACAAAGCATAAAATATCTAAGAGCAAAAAACAGTATTTCTCACATAAAAATGTAACATTGAAAGGTTGGGAGGCAGGGGGTTGTACAACAGATTTCAAAATGGCTCTTAATCACAAAGAAACATGGTCCTTATGGAAGAGAGAAAGACATAAATTTCAAAAGCAGTTCAGTATTACTTTCTGTTTTTAAGAAACAGAAAAATTCTATTAGAAACAAAAGTCTGTTGAACTGCTGCAATATCAATTGTCCTATATGGAATTAAATGTGGAGCAATTTCTTCACAGATGAAGAGAAGTAACAGAGAAGTGGTTTTACAGAAGGATGATGAGAATACCATGTATACATAAAATCAGAAAGAATTAAATTTCTAGTACACATTTCTAGAAAAGAAAGCAAGGAAAATTTGACATATCAAATAAGCACTATGCAGAGGTTGGGTGGGAGGTGTTGAATGGAAAGAAATTATTTAATCCCATGGCCACTTGTTTTTGGTAGACAAGCAGCAAAAAAAATTAAAAATTAAAAAAAATAAAATAAAAAAAAATAAAGTTACATTAACATATAGTAAAATAAAAACTTGGGTAAATTCCAACAGTCAAGCTCTGTCCAAGTAGTGAATATTCAGCCATGACAATGGTCATAGGTGTTACAATTTTCCATTAGAAGTAATCAATAAATCACTAATTTTTATAGGCATTCTGAAAGTCCAAGGTTTTGATTTTCAAGAAGGGGGTTAAAAAGAAAACCTCATTTCCATTACCAGTCAATTTCTTTCAAAAAGCATAAGTCCATATTAAAATTGCTTTAACTAGACAAATGTCACACCTGATTTTTAAATAAAACACCTTAAAATAATAGACATCAATCAAATCTTGGAAGAACCTGAATACTGGCTTCTAAAAACAAATAAGAGTTTCAATCAAGTATTAATTGCACTTAATGTTTGACAATATGATTATTAATAAGCAGAAGCACAATAATTAAAAAAATTAAATAATTTACAAACTGGCAATCTTAAAGAGATTGGTGATTTATAATATAATTAACCATATTGTAGTAAAAATACACACAACCATGATTATAAATCTATACTACAGTGTAACCCGGATATAAGAGAGATTTTCTCTGGTCCCAAATTAGAACCTGTGTTAATGTATATAAAATAAACCAAACCCGGATATAAGAGAAACCCAGATATAAGAGACTTCTTCTCCGGTCCCAAAAACTCTCTTATATCCGGGTGACACTGTATTATATTTCCATTATTTTTTTTTTAGTTTGAAATTTCTGAAATTTCCAGTGAAATGATAAGTGAAAAGAGGTACAATTGAAATGTACACTGCACCTTAGATTGATTCATTTTCTATGCCTTATGAACACTTTGCAGGTTATTTAGAGCCAGAAAATATTTTTAGATTGTAAGTTTGTGGGATGATAATGATCCATTAGCTGAGGGGGGAAAAGGTGGATTCATTCCTTTGCCAAGTATATTTGTATGTAAGTCACTATAAAAACATGACTGCAATTGGAGCTTGGCACTTCGATTAACAATACCAAGCCATTATCCACCACCCGTCACATCCAAGCTTTCAGCACTTGGTATTCCCAAGCAGTTACCCATCTAGGAACTGACTAGGCTCGGTGTTGCTTAACTTCAGTGATCATACAGGAACTGGTGTTTCAATGTGATATGGCTGTAAGCTAGAGTTTGTTTTTTTTTGTTTTTTGTTTTTTTTTTAAAGATATTTCAAGTTATTTGATCATAAAGAACTCATTGCTTTTTAGTCAAGGGTATTAGAAAGAATGCAGTATAGAAATACACTTTAAAAGGGTTCAGTTTATTTGTGTTACGTGTTGGAAATTGTAACAAAGAAATAAAAAGATTTACCAAAACACAGAGCTAAATCACAAACAAATATTTAATTTACTAAAACACAACATAAAATATATACAAGATAAACAATTGTGGCTTACAAAAAAAAACAGAATTTACGGGCGAAGTGTTACAAGGGAGAAGGAAGGGGAGTCAAGTATCTTTAACACATTAGGGCTAGCGAAGTAATCTAAGTGCTAATAAATGGAAATCCATAAATGTGGGTATATATTGAATAATTGGTAATTTGGTCAATGAAAGTAGTCAAAACTCTATTTACCAGATTTGTTCCAAGGGGTTCTCTTTTGGTTTTTTTGTTGGTCGGCAACTTTTCATAGAGATTCTTTCGGCTGGATATAATAATCCTCGAATCAAAAGCCAGAGTTGATACTGGCAGCAATTTCTTTTCACCAATTGACAACCCTTTTCCAAAAACCTATTTTTATAGGGGCTAGTACCTAATTAGCATATTTCTAAATTTTTCTCGAATATACTAGAATGTTCTAGAATCTTCCAAACATTCTATTTCTAATTTCTCTATTTTACAACTACTTCATGAATGAAAAACTTTTTTGTATTAACAAGTAGGACTCAGTAGAATCCCTTATTATAGAAATGCATCCTCGTAACAATTTGGATTAATTCAAGTCTAATGTAATATTTGTGCAAAAACCAACAGAGAACTAGAGCATTATTGATAGTTTATGATTCTGGCACACTTTCACATGCACTAAGAGCAGGTGGTCCATTATTGTTGATTTTGCTTTGTTTTCAATCAAGTAAAACAATGTCAATACTCGGCTGGTAACAATAAAAAGTAACCCAATTTAGTAGCTCAATGTATTGTTTATGAACACAAGGAGGAATTATTGATTTCAGAGGGAAAAACATGCACACGGAGAACGGTTGCAGTAGCACTTACAGAGGCAGTAAACAGGAATCCCCCTGAGACCAGTAAAAGAACAAGGCGGCAAGCCATACACACAAAAGAAACAGGCTCTCAAATTCTTACACATTTAGACAAAATAAAAAAGGTATTTGAGGACAGATTTTATCTGATCTGAATGGACAACACATGCTTAGAGAGTAAACAGCAAAGGAAAAAATAAAAAATAGTAAAATTCCAAAAGTAAGTTTCTTTGGAATATTGCCTGAATGCTGCATGATACAGCAGTATTTTTTTTTTGGGGGGGGGGAGATTTAGAAAGAATTAATTGAACAAAAATCAATTTAGAGAAACTGTTTAACCATATGGTTAAACAGTTTTTCATTACATAGAGACAATATAGCTGCTTCCTGTCAACTAAAGTTTTTCCAATGAGGGTCACCCTATACAAGGCCCAAGAGCCATTAGAGGTAGAGGGTTAAAAAGTGGCACCACCTCAAGCAAGATAACAATGCCACCAGAAGTAGAAAAGACAAAAAGGATTTTAGAAGAAATTGAAAATCCAATCCTAAAGAGGAAACAAGGGATAAACCTCTACTCCTGTTCAAGAGATCAGGGAGGATTGCAAACTAGATGATAACAAACCCATCTACTCTTATTGAGGAAAAATATTAACAGTTATCTATGTTTATCAATACTCTAAGCATTGTACTTCATGAACTGCTTGAATTACTCTTAAACTGTGTTTAATATTAACACACTATTCTATATTAAAATGTTTCTCAATACAGATTATGCTTGGGTCAATAGGAATCAAGAAAAGTGTTTATTTCTGGGGGGGGGGTTATATTTAACATGAAAATATCAACATAAATATACTTGGTTATATACAAGCGGTAATAACTTTCATAGACACATTATTTGAAAATTTCCCGCCTGCTTTTTTTTTTTCAATAAAAGGGAAAAGGGGAGAATTGAACAGCATCATGTATATAGAGTGTTTACTACTTTTAATCAAATTATTCCTTTTAAATTGTAAATGGTTGTTCTGAATGGGAACACTTCCAGATCCTTATAAATACAGGGGTTTCCCAAGACCCTATCCTGGGTCCTACACTGCTTCAAATTTTTATCAATGATCTTCCTGACATCATCAACTCCTAAGTAGGCATCTATACAGATGACACTAGCATTTACTTCAGTCTCAACAGTAAACCAAACAGCACTGACAAAGTCATCCTGACTGCTGCTCTCAAAAAGGACCTTCAATCAGTGGTTAACTAGGGTTCCTGGAAATGGCTTGTAAATTTTAATGCCTTCAAAATGAAATTGCTCTCATTTAGTCACCAGAGATAATTCCCTGCTTGCCATTAGCATGGGTCATGCTAAACTCCAGGAGTGTGTCTCTCTGTGCCTTCTTGGCCTTACACTTTTGAATGACTTGAAGTAGAACATCTATGCTGAATCAATAGCTGTATTTGTTGTGAGGAAAGTTGGCTCACTGTGTTGTGCCAGAAGATTTTACTCGTCAGAGTTCATCTTGCATATCTACAAATCTACCTTTCATCCGTGCATCGAGTACTGTTGCCAGAGCTATTCATCTCAAAGTTCTTGACAAAATCCAAAGAAGGATCTGCAATGTAAGCGATCCTGACTTGGCATCTCAACTCCAGTCACTTTCTCAGAGACATGATGTGGCTTCCCTCTGTCTTTTCTACAAATATTTTCATGGCTATGGTTCTGTCAAGTTTTTTTTCCCTGGTGCCCTGACTACACAGATGTAAGTGTGCAACTAGACTGGCATCTAGGTCCCACCCTTTTAATACTGAAATAGTTAAATGTAACCGCCACTTCTACTTCAACAGCTTCTTTTCTTGCACTTCTAACCTGTGGAATTCCCTTCTGTTTATTTGTTTCCTTGATAACTACAATCTTCAAAAATTTAAATGCAACGCCAATTGCCATCTTTTGATGTCTTGAAGCTTGTTCATCTTTTATCCTTTACTCATTCCTCCTTTACACGATTTTTCTCTCACCTTCACTATGTAATCGCCCTGCAAACTAGTGGCACTCCCAACTTGCTTGGGGTGAAATGCCACTTTTTCAATCTTTGAGTGAGCAGCAGTGAACACCCAAGTGACTGAAAAATACCCACCACTTCACTTCTGCAAACTTTCCTGCATATATGGTAGATGAAAGACTTGTGACAAAGTATTTCTGGTCCTTATACACTTATGTGGCTCTTGAGTTCTGCTTCTGACTTACACATATATAATACACACAAAAAATATATATATAATCTTCATTGTCAGTAGTTAACAACTAACTGATAAAGAATAATTGTTCTGATGAGCTTTCCTCTTTGGTACTTTGACTTTACAAATTTAAATGCAGTACTAGTCTGGCAGCTCAGTCTCATCATTTTACAGTTGAAATTGACAGAGGTCATCATTAAATTCTATACTAACAGCTTCTCTCACACTTCTTTCTTCTGGAACTCTCTTCTAACTTCTTGCTTTCCAGTCAACTTTGATCATTAAAACTTTAAATGCAATGTCAATTGTTATCTCCTGTCTACTTAAATCATCTTCTTTTATTGTACTCTCCTCTAAATGTTTTTTTTTTATCTCAGGCTTTCATTCTCAGTAAAACAATGTCTTAGTGACTTTATTGCTTTGCTTAGGGTGAAATGATAAGAAAAAAAAACAAAAAAAAAAAAACAAAGAGTCATGCATGATTTTGTCCAGTGTTTATTCCATCTGGATTAATCTTTACAGTAAGATAGAAATCCACAAGATTTCAAAGTATATAAAGTGGCTACATCTCAAGAAACACAGCTATCTGAAACAATTTCTTTTTTGCTTGGACAGAAAAATGACCATGTTGAACAATTTTCACTAAAATACCATGATTTTATAAATTGATAGCTAACATTTTCTCATGTCAATTTAGATGAAAATATATACCCATGTTCAGATAAAGTAATGTTGTATATTAACAAATGGTTTACAACTAACCATGCACCATAAGAGTAACTGTCTTTTTTGATGGTGTTTATTTCAAAATACTTTTAGTATCAAACAAATGCTTAAAAGAGCATCCTACAAATTGATATGATTAGCACTGAATCTTTTTTTTTTTTTTTTTTTTTTTTTAAATTTGACTATTTTCCATTGGCAAACATGAAAATAGACAAATTTTGGGCAGAGTTAAAAATATTTCTTCTGGGCAATTCAAAACTATTCTCTGAATTTGTATAATGTATGCCTAATTGTAGCCTACAAACCATTTAACTAATTTTTTTTCCTCCATTATATCAAGACCCCCCTCCGCCATCCCACAAAATGCTGAAGATACAAATTACTTACTTCTTCCCTCCCAAACAATTTGGTGTTAATTCAAAATTTTACTTAAGACACTAATATGAAAAATATTTTGAAATGTGATTAAATGTTCTAATTCAATTTTAACATTTTCCTTAAATCTTTTGTAACTATGTTATTTCATCAGTATTAAACAAACAAACAAACAAAAAACTTTACTGGATTTAATGAAAAACCAACATCATGATGAAATATAACTTTCTCTTAACCAATTTCAGTTGCTTTTTATCAATTGCCAACTTCAGTTTTTTTTAATTGGGAGCAGTACTTGTTTGAATCAATCATTTGCTTCTCCAAAAGGAGTTCATAGTAAAAGACCCACTTATAATTCCCACAAACACTGTCACTTTTTCAGAGGAAGATCTGCCTCTGGTAGTAATGGTTCATTTCTCTTCTACATTGTTGTAAAGTATCCACTTTTCAGTACATGTATAAACTTGTTTTAAAAACTGAATATTGTTTTAAACAAGAGTTTACACATGGAATATGATTTTCTCAATTCACTTAAGTGGAAGCCATACATGAAAGCAACTCCTATAACCAACTTGTACAAATGATATTTTGTGCCAGTCAGCTGCCTCCAGCATTGTATAATGTTGATTGATTTCTTCAATTGATTATAATCAACCTCAACTGGTCTATTGGACTAGGAAACACTGTTAAGTGATAAATCTCCATAAACCACTTGCCATTATTCACATCACCTTTTTTTTTGTTGCTAAATCATATTCTTAGAATAAAAAAATAAAAACCAAAACATGTTCAAAATTTTTAGTGTTAGAATCAACATTTTTTTTTTAAACTGTAAAGTTTAAAAAAAAAAATTAATTGATATGACAAAGGTCACAACAATCAAGTGATCATTTTTCAATGAAGTTAATTAAAACTAAATGCTCCTAATACCATCTGATGACAGCAGAAGAAACCTTTTGGCTAACTCAGGATATATGAATATGCTTCTGAAAACAATATTCAAGCTTTTTCTTCTCATCTCATTTGCTCAGCCGGTGATGCTTATTTTAGGAATTTATCTACCATAATAATTATTGTCATGCAAACTTTTGAAATATTTTTTTTTTATTGTATTGTAATAATTTGTCTTTGAAATAAGCAATACAAAAAAAAATTGTTTTTTCTAAGTACAAGCCTTGCAACTAATTGACAAGCTTGCAAAGAGGATTAACATGTCTGTTAAGTGAGAGATTAACAAAAATACACATGGGCTGAGTGGAAGATAATATTCCTTCTATACATGTTAAGTACTAAATATCGATAAGAAAAAAAAATTGATTTTCTTTGAACATCTTGTCAAAGGGATTTCGTTGATCTTTACATTTCTCAATTATAAGAAAAAAATTATCTAATAACATTTCACAAGTGTCTATGAAGTATAATAAATCATTTGAAACTATTAAAAATATTTATTAAGAAATTAAGATTAATCTTTTAAAACAATTTTTCAGCAGGTATTTTCTTCTTTCACAAATAAAGATTTTAAAAACAACTGAAATTTTTCCAAGCAGAATAATTTTATTGTAGCTTTTATTTTCCAATTGAAGGTATATTTTTATATTTCATAGTGAAGTTTCAACTGATTTAACTTCCCTAGAGATTTAAAAAATGCCAATATTTTTAGTTTCCACATGATATCTTATAGGGATTTCATGAAATTAAATAAAGAGGGAATATTTCTGTCTGAATTCCTGGGATGTGGAGTTATTGTTTACAATATTTACATGCAGACCATTGTCTGCATCTTTGTTGTAGTTATCACGTTTTGATGAAGGCCAGAGAGCACAATGGGCAAAACGTGATAAGGAACAGAGATGAGGATAATAGTCCGCATATAAATAATTTAAATATTAAGAGATACTGTTGGTTTTTAATAATCATTTCTTGAAAGCTTCGTTACAAAATCCCCTTGCAATAAATTCATTCATAAATGAATAAAGTGCCAATAATTTAATTGTAATCCAATAAATTAGTTAGTCTTTGGTAAATTAACAAAAAAAAAAAAAAAAAAAAAAAAAAAAAAAAAAAAAATTCAAGCTGTAGATCAGCTACAAATATTACACAGTTAAAAAGAAAAAAATCTTCAAAGACATTTCTAGTTCTGTACATTAGAGACACTTTTTAAATCAAAGTTTTCTCACAAAAAATTATTACAATAAACTGAACACATCTTGTTTTCAAAAGGTGTATGGTACCTAATATTATTTCTATTACAGGGATATATTCATTCAAATACACATCTATTGTGTTTGTATATGACTATTTTTTTTATATCTTTTTTTTTTATTTTTATTTAAAATGGATAGCTCAAGTACTGAATACTATACAAATCAAATGGCCAATATGTTAATCAAATGATCACAAAAGAATTTTTTTTTAACTATCTTTCATCTAAGACAACGGACAAGGGCCACTCAAGGTAAAGGGTTACTGAATGTGGTTTTCAAATTAGCACAAATAATTATCTCTAAAAACCACCTTGTGTCCTATAAATTGAAAGTCAGTGATGGCTACAATAAGGTTAGGTTATACATCCTAACTTGTCTTCTAAATAGTGATGAATTTGTCATTAGTTAGGTTTTTATGCTGATATATGCTATTCAGTGGGTAAAACTGGGGATAGTGTGGTGAGCTATGAAGTACAAGGAAAAAAACTTTTTTTCTGTTTTCTTCCTTCAAAATTTTTGGTCAGGAGCATCTAATGCATTGGAGTGTCTTATAAGCAATGAAATACAAGAAGTTGCTGGAAAGTTCTTGGCATGACCAGGAAGCAATTCCTTCAACAAAAATCTGATGTTTGGCCAGATATTTAGAAGTAGTTTAGGCCTTGTTGAGTTCAGGAAAAACAGATTTGACAAAAGATCACACTGGTAACATCCACTGCAAAAGTATACAAGAATGAAACCAGCCATCCTCTGAATGTCAGACTTGAGGAATGTAAAGCCATAACCAAAGAAGTAGTATAAAAATTGACTATGACAAACCAATTCTGGAGAGAGAAAGGCAAATATCATCCTCTAAATGATTAAGTTCAAATAACATAACAGGGAGCACTGCTGAGGAGTAAAGGTAACTTGAAAGAGGAAGCACTGTCAAAATGTTAGACAAGTCTACATTTTAGCAATAAATTTTAACGTAGGTTTTCTTAGCAAAGAATGTATTTGGGGAACTTCTGATATATAATTATGGAATCACCTAGGTACATGGATGGTAATGCTGATTTCACATCTGCATATCTAGCATTGCTGAAATGAAATGACAGTCTAGAAGACATATATACTCAATAAGCAGGCAGCCATTACAACTATTATAAAACTAAAACAAATCAAACTATAGGTAAAGCTTCCAAATACAAACCCACCAACTTGTCAAACTAAAAAAATTTAACAAAAGGAAAGGAAAAATAACAAATGACAAAAGAAGTTAAAGGAAACATAAAAAGAAAATAAAAAAGACAGACGCCTACCCAAGCAATAACCGAAAGTGCTCAATGCCTCTACCAAACAGACCAAGACAGAGCAGTAATCTTAACATGCAAAGAGACTAGTTTCTAATCATTTCATTTCTAAGTTTCAATAGAGCGCTTATCAGACAAGAATTGGTCCTTGCCATCTGACAATTGTCCCAGATGTGGATGTGGGTGTACGTTTATTGCACAGCAATAAGGATCACAATCAGATAGGCAATCATGTATAATACCACCTGGGATAATCTATCACTTTTTCTAATTTCCAAAATGAGCAAAAAAAAAAAAAAAAATCATGATATTTTACCTTTTCTCTTTTGGCTAACATGTGCAAATCATCTAAAGATTCAACCAAAGACTTCTTTGTTGCTTACTCTGACCAGCTCCCTCCACAAATCTTGGTAGGTATTCATCCATGAATAGTGTGTTTTGGACAGATTTGGCAGAGCCCATTGCTCTCCAGGTAAAAAAAAAAAAAAGTGGTCTTTAACCCCCCCCCCCCAGTAAGCTGGGATTATTTGTGATTGAAACAGTCCCTACTTGAAAGTTGATGATATTAAAAGTCTTACCTGAAAGCTCTCCCTGTTTTTCCTCTGCTGCCTTCTCACTCTCCTCCGCTCCCTTTCTTTCTCATCATCATATTCTTGTTCCAACATTCGTATGTGATCCTCAAAGCAAATCAAAGCATCTTCTTTGTCCATATCTGGCAAATAGCAAAGAAACATTAAAAAAACATTAAAGTATACCTCTAGTTTACTGGTGGTGCAAATTCAACATCAAGACATCACTTTTTTGTTTGCATGTTGTTGCCCTTGTTTTGATATTGCAATAACCAAAGTGATTAAAACTTTAAAATATCTGGATAAATTAGAAACAAAATCAATGTGGCTATTGAACGTAAAAAAAAAAAAAAATTAAATGACAAACCTCAGATTATCAAGGCAAAAAGAGGAAAACCCAAAATAGATAATGTCTAGTCTGTGATGAAGAAAGCTTTTAACAAAAACAAAAAATTAAAACTGAACTGAGGGAGGGAGGGACTGGTGACTGAAGAGAGCGACAACCTTAGTGAACTTAAATTAATGAATTGAAACTAAGGAGCAATAATATTTCATATTCTACTTCTACACAATGTCTGAAAATTTATGTGTATTATTATATCAGAAGAAAAAATATGAGAGAGAGGAATAACAGGATATTGCAGAACTAACAGAAAATAATTCATTGTGGTGCTCAGTAACAGCTGAAGTGTAGAACTAAACAAACATGAGAAAATTCTCACTTTGTCCTCATAAATACATATGTAATATTAACGTTAGGAAATCTAGGTTCACCAATTGAGTAAACAGATTTTTCTGGCATTTTTAACATAGAAAATATGTTGTCAAACATTGAATCTGATCAGTATTTGAAAATTAAGTTTTCAATTTTTTTTTCTTAATAATCTTAAGCTAAATTGGGCAAATAAAAATCAGTTTTAAAAATTAGTTTTAAAGATTATTAAACTATAATTTAAGAATTCAACAGAAATTTGAGTAGAATTTTTTTTTTTCATAATTTACCATATTTGATGGTGTATAAGACGCACCCCAATTTCAACGACAAGTCAAGAAAAAATTACTAATTAGTAAAATTAGCAAACCTACATATGGCATATAAGATGCAGGGCAATTTTGAAAGATATTTTCAGTAAAAAAATCAGTGTACCTTATATGCTGTCAAATATGGTACTTTTCAACTAACACTTCAGCAGATTTCACTAACCTGCAGAAATTGAAAAATGATCTCACCGATCTCAAATCCTCTAAAGATTCAACCAAATAAGACGGATTTTATAACACCCAACATAAATAATGACATCCACTGCAGCATTCTTTTTGTTCCACAACTCATCAGGACGTAGAAGGTGTGGAGAACCATGATTGCCTATCTGATGTGATCCTTAGTTTCCATTCAGCCATCTATCCACACAAGCTCATCAGGTAAGTGGCTTGCTACCTTTACCCTATCTCTCTAACCCTCAATATAACCCATAAGGGTTAAGTTTTCCAACTCCTCCTTCCAAGAAATTTCTGCTCTTTTCTTGATTCTGAGTACGTGTTCTTCCTGTTACTATTTTCTTTGTTGCTTACTCTGGCCATGGAATTTTCAGTATGCTTCTGTAGAACCACATTTCTGCTGCCTCTAGTTTTCTCCTCATCCCTCGGGAGATTGTTCACCATTCACAACCATATGAGAGAATAGATACCACATAACAATCCAGCACTCTTTTTCATAGTTTCTAACAACATTTTTCTGTTTCTCGGCACCTAGCTTTTGGAATGCTTCTTTCACTAGACCAACGTGTGTTTGGATCCGAGTTACCTTTCACACCCTGTTAAAATGCTTCCCAGTTATTTGAACTTCCGCACCAGCTGGATGTGCATATCTCCAATTTGTAATAACAGCTTGAGCTTTTCAAAAAAACCATTTCATTTTTCTTCAGGATTACAAAGAACACTTTCATTTCACAGAGAAGAGTACATTGTAAGCTTATACCAACACAAAGTTACATAAATTGGTAGAAAGGAGAGAGAGAAAGAAAAAAAAAAGAAACATAAAAATGAAAGCTAGTTTGACTTACTCTGTAAATCTGGGTCTTCAGTAAACCGAGGATTGTCAAGTAACATTTGCTGAGCCTCAGACCAAGTAGTACAGTAAGTTAGGCTTGGCATACTGTCAAGGATTTCAGAAAATACTTTGATATTGCGTTTCCGTAAAGCCTTTGCCTCTTCCTGTAAAATATCAAGCAATAAACTATCATGAGAGAGAAAAAAAAAATTACCAAAACTAAATCAGGTCTAACTTGGTTCATAGGCAAAAAAAAAAAAATTACCAAAACTAAATCAGGTCTAACTTGGTTCATAGGCAAAAAAAAAAAAAAAAAAAAAAAAATTACCAAAACTAAATCAGGTCTAACTTGGTTCATAGGCAAAAAAAAAAAAAAAAAAAATTACCAAAACTAAATCAGGTCTAACTTGGTTCATAGGCAAAAAAAAAAAAAAAAAAAAAAGATGCATGTCAGATGACCAAACAAAGTATAGATGTAACATTTCTTAATCACAACAAAATTGACAATGATACATTTTTTTTCCCTAGACAAAATGAAATCTAGACAAAAAAAAAAAAAAAAAAAAAAAAACACTTTAAATAAATGATAGATTATCAATAATCTGGCTAAGTGTTAAATCTATCACTTTTTCTAATTTCCAAAATGAGCAAAAAAAAAAAAAAAAAAAAAAATCACGATATTTTACCTTTTCTCTTTTGGCTAACATGTGCAAAACATCTTCAAAGAGCTCACGCCGATCACGGTCACATACACTTTTCCAAACTTCTAAATCACCAAAAATATTGTCAGCTTTCCTGGAATGAAATAAAATATATCAGATTAAAGGAGAAAATAGCATCTTTGAATATTCTAAAAGCTCTCAGAAACTTTATATACTAACATAGCTATTACTATGACAGTCACCTATTAATAATTTTGAAATATGAAGTATTATATATATATATATATATATATATATATATATATATATAAATAAACTGCCTGTTTTGATTTGCCCATTCATTTCTCATTTTCCTGAACATTCTTTTGCATACAAGTTATAGAAAGTAGGAAAAATTAACTAAATTCAATGAAAATGTTAAATCTTTCATATTAGAAAATCAAAGAGAGGAAAGAAAAATAACTCAAAAATGCAAATTTTTTTTCGGCAGGAATGAAAGACCTTAAAATTAACTGAAAGTAAGAATAATTTTATGAAATGAAAATAAATTTACTGACTACTTACCAATACTTGACAGTGGAATTCATTTTGTCACTACTTAGAAGGAAGCTTTCCAAATCTTCTTTGGCTTGTTTGGCTCGAAGTCTTTGCTCCTCCTGAATATGACAATGCAGAAGGAAATGCTCAATGGAAACAATTACATATTCATGCAATGCATTTATATTAGGGTTTGATGTTTACAATCACATATTGTGATTAATTTGTAATAAAGATAATCAAATAGAGTAATGTAAAATAGTCATGGATATTTCAATTCCCAAATGGCATCTGAAGTCAAGCTCAGTGACCTGAAGCAGGAAGACTTAAAAACAAACAAAGGAACATTTTAGATAGGAAAAAAAAAAAAAAAAAAAACATTTTACTATTAGAAAAAAGTTGTAATTTCTATGAACATACCCAATTTTTTTTTTTTTTTTTTTTTTTTCCAAAGCAGATAATTATCATTCCAACAGAAATGGTTTCAAAATATTTATTGCATTCATTTTAACTGCCACATTGAAATCCATAAATGTTACAAATCCTCTCCCTTGAGATGAACCATGTTCCTTAACCATTTAAGCCCTGTGTTTTGGAACAATTTTAACCCTTTTGCCTGAGCTCCCGAGTCAAAATTTGCAAATAATTGGTATGTAATGTTTTACAGTAGATATAAAAATAGTTACAAGTGCTTACCAACTGTTCAACTAGTGGCTGGGCATCAAATCATTTTTCTCTACCACTGTTCAACAAGTGACTGGGCATTACATCATTTTCTTCAACCACCAGTAAAGCGGTGGTCAGAGCCCAAAGGGTTAATGATTTCTACACTGAGCAAACTGTTACCAATTTCATACCACTCACAGATCCACTAAGAGTTTGTTCAAATGATGTTAAGTAATATGTTTAGAACTTTACCCATTAAAAATGTTTAAACGCTTACAAAGCATGTTAACTATTGTCATAAAACATGCTATTCTCAAGATAATGCAGTTAGAATGGAAATTTGTCCATACAATTTAATAGCAATAAAAATTAACTTTCAACAGCACTGTAACAGCTACAACCATTTTCTAAACAAAGAAAGTGGCTTTTTAGATAGCCTGAACAAACAATATTATTTTTAGTATAGCCATTGAGAATTAAAAAAAATATGTATTCTGTTGTTTATTAATGCATAGCTATTTGATATGCAGTGAATTTTTCATAGCTCTTATTTTCTTTTAGCACAAACATTAATTCATGCAGTAAGAACATTAAAATACTGTGAACGTGGTTCCTGGATTAACATTTTTCTCTTAGCAAAATAAATCAACAAAAAAGCGTCTAAGGGAGACAACCACACAATTTTATAAAATTATTCAGACACAATTTTTTTTTTAAAGAGAAATAAACTTGACGAAAGTAAGTTATTTTAAAACAAGTCATTCAACGATCTCAAAATTTAAAATTACACAAATTAAAATTTCTAGTTTACCATTAGCAGATTTTATTCTCTTAGAACCTGCTTTGTATTGTGTAATATTTAACCAGATTTGCATTGAAAATACGAAAGTCGTTTGTAGGTTTGCTGAGTGTTTTCCTTATTCTTTTATGTGCTATCTGTTATTAGGACATACCACTGAGCATTTAATATCCCAATGTGTATTTGAAGTCGGTTACCTACTGTTTTTCCTCTTACTTTCAATGTGTTCTGTTAGTGTTAAATTCTTAAGGACCTCTTTCCTCACCAGGTGCTCACAAAATTTTCCACTCTTTCTGATTGTAAATATAAGTTTCTTTGTAATTCCTTATTAACCAATCCAAAATAGCACAAATATACTAAATGTGACAATTTATGGAATGGCTGTATGAAAGTAAAGTTTGCTTACCAGGTCACTATTGGTGACTGCCACCTTCGAAATGCTTCTCTAAGCTATACACATTGAAAGACTGTCACTGTAAGTGTCACTGCTAAAAGCAACATTGAACTTATTTTCTGGAATACATTTCTTACTTCTTATATATATGTATTTCGTACTGATATGTGTGAGTGTGTGAGAGAGAGAGAAAGGTGAAAGATTAAACTCTCAACCTCCAATTTATCAGAAACTGATGCTTTTACTTGCCTATTATTGTTAAATTTACCTGTCACACATACTGATTGAAATAGGTTCAGCATTTGGAGCTCAAAGGCTGGTGATATTTCTCCAAACCCAGGCATTTCTAATTGTCTGGTGAATCCTTGTCAGTGTCCTTTAACACTGGTAGCAGAGTTTAGTTTTGTTATAATTGCTGATGGCTTCTTTGAAGCAACCACTAGTGTTCAACCCAGGCTGTGGGGGACACATTTATAGACTGAAAAGCAGCATTCTTTTTCAAGATTTCTCAGTTGCAATATTCTTATTGTTAATTCCACTTAAAATTTTTTTTTTTTTTTTTTTGCCATAGCAGGATATGACAACATAATTATGAAATTCAAACACACTATTGTTCTGGGATCAGTCACCTTCAGTGGCAGGATAACCTTTTTGCACAGCAAATGAACTACATACAGAGTGATAAAAGTTAAGTTTATCCAGAGAAGCGAGAGAAGCTGTTTGTTCAATTGATCCTAAAGAATTAGCAGATGATGAATTTGAAAAAGTGACTGTTGCTTTAAAAGATAACACTACTTGTGGATTCAGTGTTTTAAAGTCATTTGTGGAATTTTCCAGTATAGATTGACAAAGCTCCCCAAAATTCTTGGTTGAATTTAAGTACAACTAACAGCAGCTAATTCATCTGATGACCATAAACCATTGGCCAGAGAAACAGCATCCTTGAAATCTAGTGAAAAACAAGTTACAGGGAGTATTCAGCAGGTTTGATGAAAGAGAAGGTGGGCATTCTGTAACACTGCCAGTGAAAGAAAAGAGCATATATATATATATATATATAAGAGGATAGTCACCATGGTCATAGATGTTGTGGATTTAATCAGGATTCAGTCAGGAGATGAGTACTATAAACCAGGAAATGTTCAATGAAAATCGAGGAAACATGTGCAAAGAAAAAGGAAGTAGTAAAATAAATATGAAATCCAGTAAATTTTGATGTGGTTGTTAGGCAATGCCATTTTGTATCTGCTTGTCTTCACATGCAGATTGAGGCTGCTAAGATGATAATTGATCTCACACTAATTGCAGGGTCAGCAAGCAGAGAACAGGATCATTGAATCATTAGCTAGGGGCATTCTGGATTGTGCTTGTATGGAGATTGCACATGGATTAATGAGTATTGAGTTCTTCTGTGAAGATGAAAGGAATAATACAAATAAATCTGCAAGAGCCAACTCATCACATTACAGATTTGGTGATGGAAAAGAAATAAAAAGTAAAGAATTGATCATTCCTGTGATAATTTGTGGAAGAAAATTAAAAATTGGCATAGATGTAGTTAATAGTAATATTCTATTATTGATTAGCAGGCCTGCCTACAATGACAAGTCTTGTGATTTTGTCAGACATGATAAAAATCACAAAGTGATAGCTTATGGAAAAAAACCTTCAAACTAGAATCCATCCTGTCTGGACATTATATGATTCCAGTGTGGATGGACAGAGGAAAGCTGCAATATCATTCTACATCTAGAAACCATTGAGATTGTTGAAGAAGAAAAAGAAAAGCAATGAAACTTCACCTCCACTATCTGTTGGCTCATACTTCGAATGAGACCAATACATTCATTGAAAAATGGTGAATGTGAAGATCCAGAATTTTTGCTAGAAGTGAAAAAATGCTATGGTAGTTGCCAGTTCTGTATTAGGTACAAACATTTTAAACTAAACATTTTAAACACTCCCAAAAGCAGACAGATTCAATATGATTGTTTACATGGATCTGAAAGAAGTTACTAAAGGAAAACTGGGTCTTACACTTGACAGTGCCAAAAGATATGACAACAGTCCTTATTCAATCAAAGAAAAAAAAGATATTGTCATGGATAAAATTTTCAAGATTTGGCTCACATGCTTTGGAACATCAGTAAAGTTTCAGTGATTGGAGAATTTAATAATGATGTTTTCAAAGACATGAATCAGAAGTTTGGAATAGAAACTAGTATTACATCTGGCGAATCTCCTTTTTGTAATGGTATGATTGAATGGAATAATGGAGCTTTGTATGAAATCATGACGATGACCATGGATGATGCTAAATGTAACAGAAATAATATTGGCAAGGGCAAAAACGTTACAACAAACATTTGGAAATAGTCGAAATGAGATTGTTGGAAAATAATAAAAAAATGTGAGTCTCCCTGCAGAAGAGAGTGATTAATGACCAGTACTAAGCCCTTCAGCACATAGTGACCTTGTTTGTAAGAAACTAGACAATCCCCATTGTGTCAGAGAAAAATTCATCCTCGTAGAGTCTTAGAAGAGCTCCCAAAGACAATGTCCACACTTCTGTAGAATTTTGATTTATAGATGGTGGGAGAATATACTATTAACATAAGGACATGAGCTGAGGAGGTCTTGCTAAGGTGCTTGTAAAAGATAATTTTGTACTGATTCACCACAGTAGTGAATATTACAGAGGTCACCCATGTCAAGGGCAAAAACTTCATCACAAAGTATAAGATATATGTATATGACAAAAAACTAATGAGGCAAAATACTCAGCATACAAATAAAACCAAAGAATAAAAAATTAGAGTGTGAATGTTGATCCATGCTCTGATGATGAAAGTGAAAATGAGGTTGAAACTGAGATGCCTAACTACGAATAAGGATTTGATTCACAATATCTTCTTTGATTCACACACTGGGATTTAGTTAAGGCAGTGAAGTTATTTTGATGAAACTGACATCAGTGTTAAGCCAGAAGATTAAGTGGAATCAAAAATGTTGAAAATCCTGAAACCCAGTCATGAAGCAACTGCTTCAGAATCCATTTTTTACTCATTTTCTACCTACAGTATAACATAAACACATACAATTTCCATGCTCCTGAAATATGTTTTCATAACTAAATGGTGAGTATTAGAACAGAATGATAGTATCTACTGACAAATGTTTTTTTTTTGAAGAGTAGAGGTTTATCTCCTTTCCTGTTTAGGATCAGGCATCCTGTTATTTCTAAAATCTTTCTCTTCACTCCCAGTAGCCACTTGTGTGTTAGTAGCATTATCGCCTTACTTGGGATGAATTGATAAAGAAACAACTCCAAGCTATTGACAAGACATAGAAGATGAAGGAGAGAAAACTATAAACTCACCTTCTCCTCTTTTGCTTTCTGTGTCTTGTATTCATTGAAGGCTTGTTTCTTTTCATTGAGGTGCTTCAAGGCTCCATATCTGCTATCATTGATGATCATCTTCATAGCCTGCTCCCATGTAGCAGAAGAAGGCACATCCTGTTTAAGAGATTATAAAATCAAATGAGTAGTTATGGAAATCATCATACACATTTTGGATACAATTAAAAAAAAAAATATGAAGTGTTTATTATTAACATTTTCATTTATGTATTAAAAATACTTCTTAGAAAATACATGTAAGAAAATCACATCACACAACATGAAAATTTCAAACTTGTAAAGGTGGAATAAATATCCCAGGTTGATGTAAATGTTAAAAATGCTAATATTATATGTTTGTTTATAAGGAAACATTTGGCATTCATTGATCAGGCAGACCCACTCCCACAATAGTTTAGCTACTACTTAATAATTTCAATTAAACTTCATACAATTCAGAAGTAAAAAAAAAATTTAAAAAAATGAATTTTTTTCTAAATTTATATTTTTATGAAATATGAATTTTCCAAAATGAAAAACTTAGGAAAAAGTCAGGTCAATTTTACTGGACTGGCAACATGTAACCCAGCAGAACATGCTACATGGATGGGCAGTTGGCGCCTAAACCAGCTCCCTCACTAGCTTTACTGCTGGTGAGGAGGAAACATGCCACTCTACATGATGAAAAATAAGACCTGTCAAAGGGTAGATGAGCTTCTTGTAGGCACCAACACTCACCATGTGTGTGCGCACGCACACATATATAAATAAATAAAAGGTTATGGTGGGGTCTTGAGATTTGAATGGCAACCCCGCTCAATAAAAAATAATGTGTACTTGGACCACCATGAGTAAGTGAATTGGACGTTGTAAAATATTAGTTTAAATCTTTTGTTAAGCAGGACCCACCTTGCTTTGTGCAAGATTAATTCCAGTCCTGCTTCAACAGAAAAAACACAGTTCTGTATGTATATAATTCTAGATTTATATTCCCAATTGACATAAATCTAAGTCAATAAATAAATCTCATCCAATTTTTTTTTTTTTTTTTTACAGTTTTATACATAAATTTTAAAATTCTTCAATTAGTTGTTCAATTATGATGACAAAAAAAAAAAAAAAGAAAAAAAAAGAAAAAAAAAGAAAAAAAGAAAAAAAGGAAAAAAATTCATTCAAACTTATAAAAAAAATATATGTCTGAAAAAAGATATTTCTTTTTAGTACCAATTAGAATAAAGAAAAACTCACCTCCATTTAATTACTGTGAATAATTGAAGCATAAATAATGGACAATTAAAAAAAAAAAAAAAAATTATTTCACTTTCACTGAAAATGTTCATTTTACTGTATTTACAATCGTGATGTAGATGGCTTAACAGTGAACAGTGTGAAAAATGGTATCAGAAAACTGTGATCATATTTTAGCTGAGACAGTCTGTGTTTACTTTGCACCAATGGCCTTGGGGGGGGGGGAGTATGAATCCATTTCCTCTCCCCAAGCTATGAGTTAAATACCAGGGCCCTCTCACCTTGGTAGGACAATAGGTTGAGAAAGAAGCTCTGAACTCAAAATTGTGAAGAAAGCAACAGGAAACAACACCATTCCCCCCACCCCCAAGAACAATCATGGCAATGCAAAGTTTATAGATATTTAAAAAAAAAAAAAAAAAAAAAAAAAAAAAAAAAAAAAAAGGAGGTTGTGGAGAAACATGATCATCTATCTCTTGAACGGGCATGGCTTTAAAAGAGACAGGTTAATTAAAACATTTTGATTAGGAAGCAAATTTCCTATGCTCCTAATAAATATGCTTCTGCAAACCTTTCTCTGTGTGTAACAAAATTTAGATTTTCATATTTTATTAGCAAGAAAATCCAATATTATCTTGTAAGTCATAACACGATACATTTATTTCCTGCAAATTGAATTGCAAATTTATTTAAGCAAAAACTGGGATGGGGAAAGGGAATAATATACAATCAAAAATAGATCCCCCCTGCCAGCCTGTCCAGCTATTCCACCTTGGCAGTGAAATCATTGTTCAGTTCTCTTTAGAAAGCATTCAAGAAACTAATGAAGGCTTCAGATTATGATTTAGCATACTTCCTGAATGTTCATTGATTTGTTTTCTTTCTTTGTTTTTCTTTTTTTAGGTTATCAACACTTTGTGTGTTATTTAAAGCCAAAACACATTCTAAAAGTTTTTTTTTCTTTTTTTAGTGAGTAAATATGGCATTAAAAAAATGGGGTAGGAACTGATTTTCCAGATGCAAGTCCTACTATTTAACCCATAGCTGGAGGGAGGAGATGGATTCATACCTTTCCCAAGGGTATTTGCATGTATGTGAATGTAACGAATCTGACTGGAATTGGAACTCGGCTATCCGATATATTATTCCAAGCCACTATCCATTACCCCACCCACACATCCCTATTTTTGCCTGAAAGAAAATGACACAAAAAGAAAAAAAAAAAAAAAAAAAAAAAAGGTAATCTATAAACAAAGCAAATAAGGTTCCCAATAGACTGAGGGTAGATATTATCATACAGCAAATTCACCACCCACTGGCGGGCCTTTCTGTTCCCCAAATTGGGTTCTGCTTCAGATTGTCTCCATTTATTATGCACAATTCTTTTTTTTTCATCATTGATGACACAATGCAAGAAAATGACAAGAAATGCAACAATCATGACAAATTGCATATGAATTCAAGATCATTGCAGACCTCCAAGTATGCATATATTTTGTTTCTCATTTAATACGTCCCACTTGTTGAGTTTTCCCCCTGCCAATTGCTCTTAAATAATTGGAAATAGTTCCAACAGATACTTTGAACTTTGTTGCAAGTTCTCTAACCGAGGTATTGGGATTCTTTTCCAGAACTGCCCTTAAGTCTTCTTTTTGGATTGATGGTTTCGGCCGACCTCTCAATTGATTTCCTAAACTGAAATCATTTCTTGTAAATTTTTTAAACCAAAATCTTATTGTTCTTTCACTAACAACTTTGGCCCCAAATGCAGAATTTATATTCCTTGCAGCCATGGCTCCATTATGACCCAACTTGTATTCATACAAGTATAAAATGCGATAATCACGAGCAGAAAGCTTTTCCACATTTACCTAAAAAATAAAAGCCAAAAAACAACAACAACAAAAGCAACAGATAGTAGAAATTAAGTGACTAAAATTAAATTTTTAAATGATCAACAAATATAGTTTTTAAAATTATTCTTTTTGCCAATTTTTTTTTTAATGAGCAATTATTATGATGCAATGATTTACTCTGATGCAATGTGTTCTTTACTTATAGTGCATTGATTCCAAATCATCATATTCCACACTGAGCAAGAATTTTTAGTTTGGGTTTGCAATAGTTCACTGTTGTAATCAGCTTAAGAAATTAAAAAAAAAAAAAAAAATGAAATTAAGAGCATAATTAATTTGACTTAAAAAGTTATCCTCTTTATCTTGTTATACTTTTCCTAAGGTCTTATCTCACACACACATACCTATTAAATGGCATAGTTTTGGATCCATCACTACCTACTCTGATAACAGGAGTGTACAAAATTACATATGCATTTTAATCTTGGAATTCAGTATCAACCAAAATAAATATAAAAGTAACTATTATGCTCACTTATACAGTCACAAATATACTTTTTTTATGATTAGAGAAGTATCTAGAATAATAAAAAAATGAACTCTTAAAAATATATGATTTGGCAACAAGGTCACGGTTAATGTTTCACATTCCTTGTTTTCAATATGTAAAAATATCAGATTAAATTTATTGAATCATAACTTTACATAACATTCTTAATAAATGATTTTTCATTAATTTTGCAGTATAAAAATATTATGTTTGCTCCTATTTTACCTTTTAAACATTAAGCTAAACTAAATTTCAACATACATTTTTGTTAATATAAAAGTTATTAAAGAAATACAAATTACACAAATGATTTAATTTTATCAAAATACTTGTCCATATCATAGAGAAAAACATTAAATTAACTTTATGTAACAAACAATAGCATTTTTAAATAAATTTTGCAGTGTAAAAACAGAATCAAAGAAAAAGTTTTCAGAACAAAAGTTAAAAATTAAACATAAAAAACATTAAGACTTATTAAAATTAGTTTTAAGAAAAATTAAAAAGAAATCAGATTAATGAATTCTTTAAATCAAATAAAATGTTATATTTCATTATATGTAAAAATTTCACATACAATTTTTACCTGATAGAAAGAGAAATACAGATTATGCAAAAAAAAAAAAAAAAAAAAAATGAAACAGTGTATTTGTTTTGGTGAATAAAAATTTCTTAAAGATTAACTTTAGACAAAAAATACTAAATTAACTTTCAACAAGAAAATGCTTTCTAAATTACAAAAAAATAAAAAATAAGGAATTTTTCAATATAAAATAATATAGCAAGTCTGAAAGAAATAAAATAAATCTTATATGTCAATTAAACAAGCTAAAGTTACTCCAATTGTAAAAAGCAAAAATTCCTTAAAGCAGACTACAGCAGCAAACTACTGCAAACCCAAATTAAAAATTGCCATTCAGTGAAAGAATGAGATCTGAAAAAGGCCTCCAGTTACACTATGAATTAGCCTGAAGTAAAGAATGTCTGATGGGTATCAATCTCAATCCCAACTGTAATTATTAATATAGACCTGCAACCAGAAATCATCAACATCCAGTTTGTTGTTACTTGAACTCAAAAGTGTCATTTATTTATATTATTTTATTGTCTTTTCCTAAAGTGGGTGACTACTCTGAAGATCCTCTATCATAGAATTTATTGCTGGTCATAAATGTCAAAACACTTTTAAGACCGAGATAAGATCAAACACTCTTCACTTCTATGTGAGTGCCCCTATTATAGTATCATAGAACATTTGAAAGCCAAATTCTAGGGAAAAAAACAAAGGTGTGGTGGAGGTTTTGTGTCAGCTAGTGCAGAAAATCACGCCCTAGTCTAGTGAAAGTGGCAGACAAGGAATATCACTAAGAAAAATCAACTGATCTGAGATATTCTCTAGCATGAACAGTGGAATGAGAACATTATTTCTAACAGACACCTGAAATAGGCTAAAGAGTACAGCCATCAGAACATGACAATAACAACCAAAATGAAGACACATTAGTGTATTTAACTTACCAACTGAAAATATATCTTCACAAAAACAGTGAATATCAAGTTGAAAATGAAATTACAATTTCATATTAAACTATATATTAAATACCTATCATTCTCTAATGTGGTTGCCAGAGTTTCTATAAATAAAGGCATGAATTTATTCTGCTAAAATAAAGTTCACATGTTAAAGCACTAACAGTGTAGAAATCCACACAAATTCAGTGGAAAGGTTAACAGACAGTCAGGTGTTGGCAAATCCAGGCCCTCAAAACCACATTCAGCCCAGGAAGGATTTTAGTCCGACCCACCAACTTAACTCTATTACTATGTTCTTTATTTTCTTTCCTTTCCAGAAAACTAAGAAGAGTAAGGTGGATTTTGGTTGACAAAAATTTGTTGACAACTGGATACTTAGCTGTTTTTTTCAGTGAGTATTTTGGCAAGTGCCTTTGCTTAATTTGTCAAGAAACTATTGCCATAAAGAAAATTTCTTCCAAGGCAGCCTTCTCAGTGGAGCAGTCTCAGGTAGACAATTTAAAGTACATTTGATATCATAGTCCCCACTTCGAAACACTGCATAGCGATATGCCCTGCTCTCTGCAAAATGTTGCCAACCTATCTTAACTAGTACTAGTTCTAAAAATCCCTTCAGAGGTTATGACCAGATAAACATGATAGTGAAAGAGTTCTACAAATTAAAACATCCAGTTTGGCATTCTTGAAAGGTTATGGAATATGACAGAGAAAGCTGAAGGATGCAACAATTGAATCATTGGTTAAAAAAAAAAAAAAAAAAACGAGAAAACTAGTCATAATGAATCAAAGTATAAGAGTGCATTGTTGCTGGTGGATCTTGCTGCTGGTTCCCAGAGTTTGATTATGCTTTTTTCTTTCCTCTAATGATTATGAATAAGAAATGGTTGGTGTGACAAAGATGCTTAGTGATCAGTTGAAGTTCTCTTGATGCCTCACTCATTGATACTGATTACAATTCCTTTTGATGATGAAGCAGATACAACTGAGATATTCTCATCTCGTCTTCTTTCGCAATATAACCTTCCTTAAAATGTTCTTTTCAGCAAATTCCTTGTCCCCCCCCCAATCAATATCAAATATTTCCCTTGTTTACAGACTTATCTAACCTGTCTTATCATAATTTTTCTTAAGAAAACCCATCAACAACAGCTGATAATACACTGACGAAAATGGCATTTCAAATTATAGTCTTTGTTAATCGTAATTTTTTTTAGTGATTTTTCTGGACATTTGGTACTCATAAATTGTTCAAAGTGTAATTCCACTGAGAATCTTGATCAGAGATCAGAAATCAGATGAGGTGGACTGATGATATTGGTAAACCCTGGTTTAGATCTACATTTGAATTCAACTTGCCGTGTGTGAAATATTTTCAGTATGGTATGTAGCATAACAACAGTAACAACTCGTATAAAAAACTTGGACAAAAATAAAAAAAAATCAAACAAAAAACAAAAAAAACATGACAAACATGGCCACATGTGTATCTGTTTAAAACTTACCCTTTCTCTCAGTAGTGTCTTGAAGGCCTCAATGGCTTCCTTCTTATTCTTGAAGATATACTCCTTTTTTTCAGTTTTGTCATCATCTTCATCTTCAGTGCTGCTAGTAAGAAAATGAAAAAAAATCTCTTCACAAAAAACAAAAATATTAGGAATGCAAATTCAGAACATTTTCTTTTTACTAATTAACAGAAACCCAAAACTGATAAAGTCCAATTTGATTGCAATTAAAACATAGTAATTAAAATTAATAAACTTCAATTTATGATCTGGTAAACAAGACTGTCAAAGTACTTTAAAATTTCTTTTTATTCTATTTTCTTGTATTCTAACAATTGTTTTCTTTCTCAAATTTAATGAGTATAAAAACTGTCCAAATGCTTACTGATTCCAAGTGCCATTTTCAAGGATTTTATTTATACTATCGTGTTAGGATAAATTTAAAAAATAAAAGTGTTCAAATGTGCAAATAGTCTAAAAGTTACTGAAAAATAAATATATTGTTAATTCCCAAATAAGATTAACACTTTCAAACTGTCTACAGTAGCACTTACACACCATTTATTCTCATAGTATAAATAAGATGCTTGGGAGCAGCTAATAGATTAGCTGAAAGTGTTTGGACAATTTCTACACTAAATCCCCCACCCCCCCAAAAGAAAATTTTGCATAAGTACCTTGTTGATTGTTGCTCTTTTCTTATATCTAAGATCTCAGCATGCAGCTGTTTGTTTTCTCATAGTTCATATCACATATTGTATATTTTGCAGCAGCAGTAAAGATATTAAACTAAATTCTATTATCATAAAAGAGAGATCTTATTGTGCACTTAGTGACTGCATATTTATTTTTATTTCCAATACAAAGAAAAATATTTTAATTTTCTGCTTCAATAGTGACATTAAGGGAAAAAATAAAGTATTTTAGTAGTCAAGAAAATGCATAGCAATCAACAAGGTTGGTTATGTCTTTCAAATGAAAAACGTTTTCTTTTAAGCTTTAGTTTTTCAATGTAACCACCAGATTTGTGATAAAAAAAAAAAAAAAAAAGAAAAAGTGCATCCCTAGACACCACCATTATTTGAACTATCTTTACCCCAATGTTTATGGCTTTAAAAAAACAATGATTAGAATTGTAACAAAACCTAAACATATGAAATTGAATTTATACATTTTCTTTGTTCTTAAGAATTAAAAACAAAAATAATAAACACTATCACTAATTTTTTTTTTTTTAGAATATTTACTCTATTTATTATATTGCTTATTGGAATGGTTGGCAAAATATCAGCTCATTGCCAATTGATTCAAACTTTATAAAATCAGTAAATAATAAAGATTTCATTTTAATTGGTACACAATTTAGTAAATGTTTATAAATAAAAAAAATTGTATTGCATTAGTTATAATAATATTAGTTTTTATAATGTAAATTCTCAAGAACAAAATAAAACTATAAATTCACTTTCATCATGTTTAGGTGTTATTAAAATTCTAATCATCACTTTTTAAAGCAATAAACACTTCCAAGGAGTGAAGGTAGTTAAAATAATAGTTGTCAAGGAGGAGTAAGAAAAAAGAAAAAGAAAAGTCAGTCAAAGATTACTGAATTCTTTTACCATAAATTAAACTGGAAAAAAATATTAGAAAATCTGAAAACCTGATATATTGTGTATTTATTAAAATTTTACCTCTTAAAAAGGGAAGGGGAGATTTTTACTTTAATGTTACTTCATACTTTGTCTTATAAAATCTCAGCTTAAGTTCTGTTTTAAAAGATAAGAATTAAAATAAAAAATAAAATTAAAAAAGTTGGATTTAAATCATTATTTAGCAACGTTTGAGTTTTCTTCATTTATATTACACATTTATTGCACATAGATGTGCAGGTGGCACAATGGTTAGTAGCTCAATAAGAAATCTGCAAGCCAAGTTCAAACTGCAGTCAAGTTTTTTTTAAATTCACTTTTGCACAAATACCCTGGGGAAAGGTATGACACTAGCATTTCTTCCCACAGTAGGGTAGACTGAGTCCTACAACCTCAGTTGGCAACCAGTCTAATAAAATGACCATGCTGAATTCAAATCCAGTTGGGCATAGGGCTAGCAACTCCATGCCATAAAAACCTACTTGCTAGTGTTGAGAGCTGTGGTACTATACTCCTTACTACAGAACTTTACTGAACAAGTATATACCAAACCCAAATAATTACATAATTTTTATTTTGTAGATTTTCAAAAATTTAATAAACTGTCTTATTTTGAAATAGTTTCAAAATTTTGGTTATATTCTTTCACCTAAAACACTTGTTAGGTAATAATGTTTTAATAATGAGGAAACAAAGGGCATCATAATCTGCTGTAACTGTAATGTATTATAACAAGGAGGTATGAGTTTAGTATAGAGGCGCAATTATGCAATAAACAGATCATTTACTCTTGGACATTCAATGTATGACACAACTAATTCAAGTAGTTATATCTGGTGGCAACAAACTTGCTATTCCATGCATATCTTATAACAGCCATACTATAGAATAACATTTATGACCCATACTAACTGTAAAACCTAAAGCCATTCATTTTTCAATTGCTTACCTGCTGCTGGCAGAGGAGTCTGTTTTGCCACCATCTACAATAACCTGAGTAGGAGTCTGTTTCTGTACATGGCCAGAGACTGTGCCTGCTGAGGCTACCACAGTGGCATTGGTCACAGTGGACTGCTGTTGTTGCTGCTGCTGTTGCTGTGGTACTTGTTGTTGTTGTTGCTGTTGCTGCTGCTGCTGTTGTTGTTGCTGTTGTTGCTGCTGCTGCTGCTGTTGTTGCTGCTGTTGCTGTAGAGCTGCTGATGGCTGGGGAGGCAGTTCAATAGAAGCCAATGTGGCCTGGATAGCTTGTTGAATAGCTGAAGATGGACCTGAAGAAGTCACTTGTGTCCCACTACCAGAGGATGTACCACTGCTGCCCAACGACTGGGCCTGCTGACTAGACACAGACTGCTGAGAAGTAGATGACACCACGGACACACCACTGCTAACAGTGGATGCCAAGTTGACACTCAAATCACCTACGGGTTTTCTGGAAAAGAAAATAATTGGTTTCAATCAGACACTCTGCAGTACAGAATAAACTAAATACAACCTCCCCCGCCAACAATAAAAATAGGTCAGAAAACAGTTTGCATTGCCTGCTACTATACATCCATGCTGGTTTGGAAATAGTACTAAGCAGTAGTTAGACAAGCACAAGGGACTGACATTTCATGACATCTTGAAAATTATATATTATTTTCGACATATAAGGGTCAAGCAGTTCAGCTCCTAGGAACTGACAGCTAGACACCAGCACATGTGATTTGATTATAGTGGTGAAGGTTTTGTGCAGAACCATCCACACTTTTTGAAGGGCCGAATACAGCTCTCCAATTCCTTAATCCAAGCCACTATCCATTACTCCACTGTACCTATGTCTCTCCAAGTGTAAGGTAGGTTAGTACCAATGTCCAGACATTATATTTTTAAAAAGTGGCCAATATAGAGTAGAGCTTAATAATAATAATAATAATAATAATAATAATACTTAACAATTATAACAAAACCATGTTATAAACCACTAAATAAATACAATCATGCTTTCATTCACTGAGTGTGCCTCCTCAGGTGGTGTTGCTCGACATCACCTGAGGAGGCACACAGTGTTAAAACATGATTGCATTATTCATGTAGTGCTTTATAACCGGTGGCCTGATGATTGCATCTAGCACCAAACAAACTGTCGACTGCCATGTTCACTTTTATATTTACACAAACTATCTCTGATATTGAGCACTTTATCCCATGAATATAGCACATCTTAAGACTATATTTCTTCATACACACACACACACACATTATGTGTGTGTGAAACTGGAGTCATAAATAGAGGCATCCTTTCATAGGATTTAACATTGATAAGCATTTTTTCATTGGTCTATGCAATCTGAGCTTCAAGCACTTTACTGAGTAAGTAAGTTTACTTTCTGACATTTTTTCAGGATTGTCACCTTAATTGAAGACTATCTGGATAAAAGTTTAGGTTTTGGCAAGCTGTCTGTTGATTCCACCAACAGTTTTTGTTTTCTTTAATAGAGTGTGCACGTGTGTGTATTATATATATATATATGAGAGAGAGAGAGACAGAGAGGGAGGGAGTAGTCAATGCAAGTTTTCTGAAGACACACAAGTATGTCAACAGTAATGGAAAGTAAAAATATCCAAAGAAAGTTAAAACAAAAAACAGCAACATAATCACTACTTACTGAGGAGATATTCTGTCATCAAAAGGCATGCTCACTTATTTGTGTCAAGTAATGTCATCTGTTATTTCAATGGAATATCTCATTATTGAGAAGAGAAAATTAGACAGGAAGTTAGTGTTTTTATGATGGTAAACAATGCCTAATGTTCTGTCTAGGATCAGAGTAACTATGTATTCTGCTGAAGATCAAGGTCTCACTTCTCGGCACTTCTACCTAAGATCAGTCTAGTATCTGTGTATTGTATAAAGAAGTTACATGGTACAGCCATTAATTTCCTATCTATCCATTTCTACACAAGAATAGATTTGAGAAAAACAAAGGGGAAAATGAATAAAAGGTAAAAATGAAAGCTAAGGAGAAACAAAAAAAAAAAAAATGGTAAAAAGAACAAGGCAAGTGATGAAAACCAAACATTTTTTTTTTTACAAAAAAATATCGACAGAACAGAATTGCTGCGTTGACTTTTTATTACTCCTTTACCCTCTTTAAGGTTTTAAAATTGGATAGACTTTATATTTAATATTTCTTCTTTTGCATCCTGACCCAACTTACATAGGAAGCTAGTTATATATTATGCTCTTAATATAGAGATACTGAAGTGTTTTAATAGCAAAGGAAACAACCATTTCCCTGTATTTTTTAGCATCTGTGGTCAAGAAAATCAATACAATTTAAAATTAGAAAAAAAAAAATCTAACACTAGATAAATCTATATAATTTATTTTTCAATTGTCAGGCAATCATGCATCTCCACAGATTCCTTTTCTTTCCAGATATATAATTAGATATTACAACAATGCAAAATACAGTGCCAGTGAAACTGGTAAAATAGTCAGTGGAACCTCAGTTATTGTTCACTTTTTCAGCGAAAAGTCTTGGAAATTGTTCAGCTCTTCAGTTATCAAGCAAGGAAATCCGTCTGTTATGAATCCATTTATTCCGGTTTGCTTGCTGCCACATGACTCCCCACAAGCCAAGCTACCAGACAAAACAACAGATGTGTGAATGACTCATTGTCTCTCACTAAATGAGCATCTTCCCTAGCATTAGTCTGAAAATTTTCATTTTAAAAAGTGTTTTTATTTTTAAGTTAGTTTTACTGTTAAATAAGACACCATGTGTCCTAAGATAATTCCAAGTATGTATTTGGGAAAGTCACTAGGCCTGAATAGGAGTGGGAAAGATGTGGAGGAGTTGATGGAAGACCACAAAGAACTCCAAGAGTTTCAGCTGAAGCAGCAATAAACGGCTGCTGAGAAAACAGATTCGGAGGAGGAGAGAGGGAAGAATGTGCCTTCGTCAGTGATTAAGAATATTTTTTTCAAAATGGAGTGAGGTGCAAAGTCTTGCTGAAAAATATCACCCTAACAATGCTGTTGCAAGCCATGTCGTAAACATATTTAATGATAATGAAATGTCATATTTCAGGCAAATTTTAAAACTGAGACAAAAAACAAAGCTCTCTGGACGGCATTTTAGTGAGAGAGGGATCCAGTCAGCGTCAGGTCGATTCTGGTGGCACGAAAAGACGAAGAAGGGAGATAACTCATGAAAAAAAACTAAGATGAAGGAGGATGATTTCCCTTCTAAATAATGACACCTCTCCTTTCCACCACTCATTACGGTCTTACATACGCCAAGAGCCTTCAATAAAAGTAAAATTAAATGATCATCTATTCTATTTGTCATTTAGATTTAGGTTTTACTGTTTTCTACATGTATAGTTATTCAGTATAAAATGCATTTTTGTTAATATTTTTGGTTGTGTGGAACAGATTAATTCATAGAGGAACATTACTACGGATTTTGTGCATTTCAGTCTTCAGGTGACAACATAAGTTCCACTATACACAAAATATTAAAACTACAATTTTTTTTTTTTTTGCAACATGCTGACGGGTGTTGAGATCCCCACAATATTTAGTACTGTTGAAGTTATTGCTAACATTTTTAGTCAAGATTTAAAAACTCTACATATTGTTCAATTTTGCAAACCAATCGTTTTTTTTTTTGTTTTTTTTTTAAATTTTCTGGAAAAATTAATAAAAAATTTGTTCTAAGCTACACAACTTAGTAAAATCAACTGTACTTCTCCCCAAAATTTGTTTTCGATTGGTCAATGTATGGCTAATTTATTGTGTGTGAAAGACGGACATACAGAAGAATTTTATATATAGATATTACTTACTTGTCCAACTCTTGTTTGACAATCATAGCTGAAATTAGAAAGTAAATAATATTAATATTTTGCACGAAACTTCAAATTACTGATATATAGAAAAAAGTTACAAAGATTATTTAAATTTTTACTGTCATATTAAACTTAAATTCTTTTATGAGAACAAGTAAAAGGGATATCAGAAAATGAAGTGGATTATTTAATTATGGCTTACCTTCCAGTTCTTCTAGCTCTTTTGGCTTGGTCCATCGAGATTCTTTTGTAACTGAATTATGATAATAAACCTTACCAGTGTCTGACTTGTACTCCTTCCATGGACACTGGCTTAGAAGTAACTGAAAAAAAAAAAAAAAAGAGAGAAAACAATAAAACCATACAGAATAGAAAAGGCTTTCAATGAATTTGCCCACAGTTACAGACTTCTTTTTATTTCAGCAAACTTTATTCATTATAAATTATAGATTTAAAGTCTAAAATTTTAAAGTTTTTTTTTTATAAAATTCAGAAATAGCTGTAGCCCAAGTTTTAAGTGAATTTGCTTACGGTTTCAAACTGATATTAACAAACATGTGACATTTCTAGGTTTGTGAGAAAACAGCTCAAATGCCAGATAACTACTTCCTAAACAAGTTACATGTGGATTAGCTGTCAACTGAAGATTAAACAATCTTTTCAATTTTGCAAGAATATTCTAAGTGTTTCTTTAAAAAATTAGTTTTTAGACAATATTAAATTGTGTAATTCCTGTAATTGTCAATTCTTTTATAAGAAGCTTTAAGACAAAATATTCTCTTTAAACTAATCATTTTTCTAAGCTATAATAATTTGAGATAAAGAGGTTGCGAGGTCAGGATGGAGTTTTTGGGGTTTTTTTTTAAAATTATGTATTTTTTGTGGGAAAATAGTCCCCAGTAAAATTCCAAAACCCAAAAAATTTTTCAGTTGGATACAAATAATTGAGAAAGATGAAAGTTATCAGAAAAACATCCCTATTTGAGAAACTTTATCATAAAAGTGATGTATTTGCAACACAACAGTGCAAACTAAAAAGAAAATACTGCAATGTTTATTCTATTAATTTCAATTAATTACAGTGGACTGACCACCAGCTATGAGTAAAATAGCAAGGCAAACTAAGCTCTCCACCTTTGTCGGCGGATAATCTAGAATGACAACTCTGAATTCAAAAACTATACTGCCTTGGAAAGGCTTTAGGGACAAATCCAAAAGTGAAATCTCTAAGGCAGCCTCATGGTGCCTTTGACTTTGATAATTCATGCAATGACACTGGTGTCAAATTTTATTGGATCTTGCCCTTCCTTTATACAAAATTAGTCATTTGGAGAGAGAGAGAGCGGGGGAAACTAGCTGCATTAGTAAACTGCCTGTCTTTCACACAATCTTACAAAGGCCTGTGCCCTGGGGAGTATAGTTTCAGGGTTACATGAGGCTGCCAGTAGCCTCAGATGGATTGGACTGTTATATTGCAACAAAGTGAAACAATTCTGGTGTAATTATTTGAATAAAACTGACAGTTCAAGTCTGAATTTTGTAAGGCAATGTATTTTAAATCCCCCTCACTCCACATTTTGGCCATGTACCTTCTGTCCTTCCTCAGGTGCTATGTCCTGGAATGTATTTATATCCTGTTCTTAGGGAACATGCACATCCTCAATAATACACATCATGCCTGATGTATGCATCTGTATCTGGAGACACATCAAACATTATAGAATTAAGTCAAAATAACAGAGTAGGAGGAGAATTTGTGAAGAAGGCTGAAATAATCTGCATACATACTATGCTCAGATAAATCATTCAGCAAACCAAGCATAGATATTAATAGCGTGTGGGATCCATTAATCAAGAAGGATCAAGTGATGAACTTACGATTCCATCAGCATGGTTCTAGAGGTGGGAGCATATGGAAAGTTCCGCATGAGGTTACGAGTTCAGTGCAGACACAATCCCCAGAACAGAGATGCAAGCAACAGACAGATGTGACATGTATGAGAGGATTTGACAAAATAGAAGAACAGACACCTGAGGAAGGCTGGAGGATAGATCACTGAAACATTAAGTTAAAAAAATGGTTAACACTGAAAAAATTAGCCTGAACCAATCACATACTCTGATTAAAACTGACAGTCATGGCACAACAGAAGTTATGATTAAGATTAATAATCAGGAATTGATTAAGTAGATTTAATATTAAAACTTAAACAGGATTGCAAAGAGGAGCATGGCCTAATACTTACTTCTGCTGGAGTTTTTAGCTCATCTGGTTTTTCCCAACTGGACTGTTTGGTCACACTGTTATAATAATATGTTCGGCCATCGGGAGCCTTATGTTCTGTCCACACAGTTTTCTGAAGAAAAAAAAAAATTCCATCCAGAATAAATTTATCAATTTCTAAATTTCAGTGCATAAGAAAAAAAAAAGGACAATGAACAAAAGAAAAGAACGAAATAATAAAAAAAAAAAAAAAAAGATTAAAAAAGAAAGAAAAGGTAAAAAAAAAAAAAAAAAAAAAAAAAGATTTTGAAGGTGAAGACATTTTTCAAAAGTTAGTATTTATTATAGAAAATAAATAACTTTCCAAGCATATTACCAGCCATTCCCATATGTATATGAACACAATTATCATTTTCTTCACAAAAGTAAAAGACTGACATTCCTGCATCAGTACTAAATTTTGAATTTCATTGCTTGTGACTTTGGGGGGATTAAATTTTAAAATAAGCATGAGTAACTTAGCCATCTAATAAGAAAGTTAATTCAAAATTTAGTAATGCTGGCCATTCAAAAACAGTTCTTTTCATTAATTATAGTGCAATATGGCAACTCTACAATCTATCAATGTAGTTTTAAAATAATTTAATAGTGATAATTACAGTGTATATAAATTAAAGGCATCAGGATATTCCGAATTTGTTAAAATTCACTTCCATAAATTAGGAAAAAGTTTGAAAATCAAATCCATGTAATCATGCCAACTAGAAGGGTGATAATAATGTTTTCGTTTAACACAAGCCGCTAATTTTACAATAAAGAAGCAAACATTTAACTGACAAACCTTTTCAGCAGGCTTTGATTCTAAAGATGTGGTAGAAGACACTACAGGAGTCTGCTGTTGAGAGGTTTGGCCTGGACCCACACTTCCAGGAACTGTACCAGGGACAGATGGAACAGCACCAGGTAGAGAAACATTAGGAGCACCTAAGGAGTAAAGGTTTAAAAAAAAAAAAAAAAAAAAAAAATAAACATACACACTAATTTTTTTAGTTTTATCAAATTTGTTTTAAAATAAGTTAGCCTATAAAAAGGAACTGCCCAATGAAAATAATAATTAAAACGTTAATTTTTTTTTTCCTTCTTTTCAGATTTATCATATTTTTATATTCAGAGAATCATTCCTACTTATTTTTCTGCAAACCTAACAAATATAAATATTGTAATGTCCAATCTATCTACTGAGATTTAGTAAAATTAATTACAAGAGCTTTGTTTGATTTATAATAATTAACAGATTTTCTCTATTTTTAAAATCCACAAAAATTTTCTTGAGCCAATCATCACATTTTATATACGCTTTAAACATTTCAATCACAAATATGACCCCCACCCCAATCAGCACAAAACAAAGTTTATGATTTTAAAATTAACCCTATACAAGTTTTGGACATCTTTTTCATTTCTTTTTTTTCCTGAACAGAATTCTCAATTTTTTGGTCTATCTTAAGATGTTTCTTTTCAACAATTAATATAGAAAGATAATAATTTTAAATAATTTTATTTACCTGTGGCTGGTGGAAAACCAGGTGGTGGAATAGGTAATCCAGGGGGCGGAACACCAGGGCGTGGGGGCACACCAGGTCGAGAAGGTACTCCTGCAGCACCAGGACGGGGTGGAACAAATGGTGGCATGTTTGGTGCCGGTGTATATGCTAATTAAGAAAAAAAAAAATTCTTAATAAAAGAAGAACAAAAGAAATCTACAAAAGGAAATCTATGGCACTTTTTGATGAGACTAAATTTTGTGTTTATAAAAAAAAAAAAAAGAACACAACACAGAGCTACACAATCATTTTTGTGTATTAAATTCTCATAGATTTGTTCATCCCCCCCCCACAATGTTAACCAACAAAATATTTTTACCAGCGTTTTATGGCTGTTGCTTAGTTATTTTTTTTAATTTTTTTTAGTGGCATATCAACTTCTATGGGTTATTTAATGCCAAAATCTAAATATTTTGTGTACAATTTTTTTTTTCTTAGATAATAATGCTTTTAGTGATACAAGTCTGGGAGAATAAGTGAATACATGCCTTTCCCAAGGGTATTTGTAGGTAAGTGAATATAATGAACCCAACAGGAATAGGAACTCAGCCCTCCGATTAACAATTCATAGCCATTATCCATTAAACTATCCACACATCCAAGCTTGCAGCACCTGATATTGCCCATCTAGGAACTGACAGGCTTGATGTTGCTTAACTTTGGTGATCATATGGGAACTGGTGTCTCAATGTGATGTGGCTGTAAGCCATGGCTTTTTCTAGTTCTATTCTTCCTCTACAATTTTTGTTTATCATTTCTTAATGGTTGATAGGATTTGACCTTTACCACAGGCATATGACGATGGAGTGCCAAGTAGACAAAAATGAGCATTTTTCAACACCTGCCTCTATTTTCAATCAAGATTCCAAAGCTGCTCCATACATTTGTACACAGTACATAGAAGGTACTATTACACAAAGCAGGGCACAGAAATAATTTTCACCATTCAAGAAGTGGAATTTCAATCAGATTGAAATTCCACTTCTTGGTCAACCTGTTATGTTCAATGAAGGCAATTTGAACAAGAGAATCCATGAGGATCTGCAGCAACCCACTACGGAATCGGCCCAACAGATGTGATGATTTCATGAAATCATCACCTCTACTCAATGTGTAAGGTTCACAACCTTGGTGTGTGGGAGCCACACACACACATTGAACAAACAAGAGAACACCAGTGCTCCTCCATCACCAACAGATTGCTTGCTCAACTCAAAGCTACTCATGGACACAAACACCGATATCTTTACCACATCACCACTGGCAATGAAAAATGCTATCTTTATGTCAATAGGAAGCAAAAGAAAGAATGGCTGAGTCCTGACAAACAAACAATACATCAAACTAAACCAGAACTGCATCCATGCAAGACAAAATGATCTGTAGTTTGTGGGACTGAGAAGCACTAATCCACTATGAAATGCTTGAACACCATTACGCGGTCAATGCAGAGCTTTATGTTCAGCAAATACACTGACTCAATAGGACAATCCACCTGAAACAACCCGGCATGTTTCATTAATGCTCCCCCCCCCATGCAACTAATAATACAAAAAATACAATTCAAGAGCTTTGTTGGGAAGTTATACCACACCCACTATATTTTCCTGATTGAGCACCTTCAGATTATCACCTTTTCATTTGCTTTCCAACAGTCAGTGAGGTGTTTCGCTCAACAACAACATGGAAGCTGAAAATGCGGCTTGATGAATTCTCAAGTCATGAACCAGTGATTTCTATTGTCAAAGCATTAACAAGCTAGTGGAACTTTGTCAAGAATTTATGAATAGAGAATGGTAAATGTAATTAGTTGTTTCCTTAGAAGGAGTCATTGGTATTCATAAACCAAGCAGTCAGTACTGTCATCAGTCAAAATTTATAAAATCTTTCCCCTAAAACAATTTATCAGGAAAATTGTTTTCTCAAGTCCAGTAGATGGTATGGCTCTTTCAAGTATTGATTTCGGCTTCCTTCCTAACCTTTTATTTGAAATAGTGTTAGGTCATCATTTTCTTTTCGAGTTATATACAATATCCATTTTAACTGCTGCAAGGCCTCAAGTGATGTGGATTCTGTAATTTGGTACAGTTGTTTCTTTGTGATTCTGTAGCACAATGTTCAAAGAAGCGTGGTCTTTGCCAAGACCTACAGGCTTCACTCATTCAAAGCCATTTTTAACCATTGATTTGAAAAAGCAACTGTCAGTTTAGATATTTCTGAACAGGTTTGGTGCCATGCATGTGAAAGCCTCAAAGGAGAATATCATATGGAATAATTAGATAAAGTTGTTGATGAATAAAAAGATTAAAATAAAATTTAACAGCCCAAGACATAGTTGTGCAACTATTTTAAGAACAAATGCCAGCAAATTTATGAAGCAACACTAATCTTCTAGGACAATAACCTCGTGGATTAAATGTAGCAGTACAAGGTCAGGGCAAAAACGATAAGCAATAACTGAACAAGATATCCCTAGACATGGATAGCAGAATGAGAACAATTTACCCCTAGACATGGATAGCAGAATGAGAACAATTTACCCCTATAGATAAAATAAAGTTTGAAACTCCTTGAAGGTTACCCAGATTGACAGACACCTGATAAAGGCTGGCAGGCACAACAACCAAAATGCTGAGATAATAACAACAAAAATGAGTATATTAGTTAGACTGTAATTAATGTAAATAAAAAGAAAAAGGGTTTCCATTTTAAAGTAAATTCTCAATATAAAACTTGTAAAAGCTTACATGTTGATAGTGACTATCCCAAAGATTTTTTTATCTTCCTTACAAGCTAAGAAAGATTTATGAAAATGGATAAAAATTCCAATACAAATCAAACTGTTTTGTCTTCTTTATGAAAGCAGACATAATTTCAAGGCACACACTTCCTGATTTAGCCATAAAGGTTTTACAGATTTCCACAAAAATAGTTGTTCAAGAAAAAGGTCTCACCAACAATCCATAATGCTTAATTAATCACAGAATTAACAAACATTTATGTTTTTGATGAATGACTAAGTGTTCTGTTGGTCAAAATTATAAAATTAAATTCCAGATCATACAAGGAAGACAGAGAAGCTGATTAAAATGGGAACTAACCTGTAGGTGGTATTCCTGGAGGTATCATTGGTGGAGGTTTGATCATGTCTGGATTAGGACCAGGTCCTCCGGCAGTCATTGTTGGAATAAAACCAGGTGGGGCAGGACCGGGGGGAACTGGCCCCATCTGAATGAATTGTAAAAGAAAGAAGTTTAAAAAAAAAAAAAAAAAAAAAAACACTGCCAGCAAATCGATTAAAAGTGCAATGTATTCAAGTTAAATATTTGAAGAAATTCATTCAGCCAACAATTAAAAATTTAATTCAAAGTTGTTAATTTTTCAAAAGCATTTAATATTTCCTGGTTATTCCCTTTATTCAGCCCAAAAGTAAGAATTAACACAAACACCAAAAATTAACAAAAAATAAAATTATTTCCAAGCAGAAAAAAATATCCATATCCAGTTACATTTAACACAACAAAATAAATAAATATACAGTAGTGAGCATAAAGATCAGAATAATGTTAAGAAAAAGTTTAAATGGGAAATAACTTTTTAATTTAAAGCTTCAAAGAACATTTTATGAAGGAAAAATAAGAATACAAAGGTAAATTATATAATTTCAAAATATAAAAATCAATAAACTTATTTTGATAAAGTTATAAGAATAATTATATAACATTCGAAGAAAATAGATGATCAAAAACATCAGAACGATTAAATAAATCCATAAAATTTAATAATTATTTTGCATTATTGAAAATTTTTTAGGGTAAGAATATAAAATAGGGTATTTTACTAAATTACACCAGCTCTTTATTGGCCCTTGCATTGTAAACATGGTGAAAAAATGTGATGTCATTGGAACTTATAGTCAAGTTACATAATGAAGATAAAATCTCGATTGGGGATATTTCAAAGACATTGGGGAAATCTAAGTCTTATTCATCGTATTTTAAGAAAACTTGAGAAAACTGTGTCATGTGAAGCCAAGAAACCACCTGGTGGGAGTAGGAAAACTACTGCAAAGGAAGACAGATGGATTGGTAATGAATCAAAAAAGGATCGATTTACAACAGCAACCGCTATCTCTAAAAGAGCTAATGCTAACCTTGGCATTAAAATATCAAGGCACACTATTTCCCCGAAGACTTAATGAAATAAATTTGAACAGTCGAGTAGCCTCTATGAAGTCTTACATTTCTAAAAAGAATCAAATGAGTCGATTAAAATTTGCCACTGAACACGTCATAGGGACAGAAGAAGAGTGGGATTGTCTTCATTTCAGCGATGAGTCAAAGTTTAACATGTTCGGTTGTGAAGGGAGAAGGTTCATTTGACGCAGTCCTAAGGAACAATATTCACCTCAGGGCACTAAAAGCAGTGTTAAATTTGGAGGAGGAAGTGTGGTGGTGTTTGAAATGATTTCAGCTGCTGGTACAGGACCTCTTATCACGCTACTCAGTAAAATTTACACAACTGTATACAAAGAGATATTGAAGAAACATGTATCCAATTTGAGAACTGCAATTAATGAAGCAGCTGTATTTATGCAAGATTACACGCAGTGTCACACTGTGAAGTCTGCTAAGACATTTTTTTCAGAGGAGGATATTACTGTTATGGAGTGGTCTGCTGAAAGGCCAGACATGAAAATGTTTGGAAGTTACTAAATGAAAGAGCTGAGGAAAAGAATCCAACAAACGTCGAAGAACTATGGATTAATTTTAAAGGAAAATGGGAGAAAATATTCGTTAATGAATGTAAGACATTAATTTGCTCATGTAGCAAAAGATGACAAGCTGTTATTGCAAGTAAAGGTCTACACATCAAGTACTAATGAATTATGAACGCTATTTTCATTTGGATATGATGTATCCATTATAATAGTATGATTTTGTTAATCGTTCTGATGTTTTTGATCATCTATTTTTTTCAAATGTTATATAATTATTCTTATAACTTCATCAAAATAAGCGAGCTTTATATTTTGGAATTATATAATTTACCTTTATATCCTTATTTTTTCTTGATAAAATGTTCTATGAAGCTTTAAAATGTTATTTCACATTTAGACTTTTTCTTAACATTGTTCTGATCTTTATGCTTGCTACTGTACATACAATAAAATTAGGCAAAAATTATTAATTAGAACAATTTAAAAAGATTTTTCTTTTTTACCCCCTCTTTCTTTAAGCTGAAAGCAGTAACTTTAGAGAAAATCTTTAAAATGCAGACAAATTTCTAAGATAGAGACAAACTGATAACATGGCCCTGTGGATAAAAGCGTTGGTTGAAGTAATTCAGTGACATGACCCAAAGAGTTGTGAGTTCAATACGTATATCAGATGGCTGAAACGTTGTGCATATGACAATAAAGATGAGGACAGTCTGAATAATATAAATAGTTACAATACCTCAACTAAAAAATTTTTTTTGTAAAGTCAGAAAGAAAAAAATTTAGTAAAAGAGTTTGTCCAATCGAATGGATACTCTGTTAATTCATTCAAGCTGATTTATCCTTAGTTTTATAGATCAGCAGTTTAAGTACAGTGACATTAAATGATACCTATGTGCTTCGATGACATCTAGATGCTTTTGCATTGCTATAAATATAGGCCCACTTGTATTAATAATGTTTGTAGTTCAAGAATAATAAAGTCCTACAATTCCCACATTTATTTATACAAGTACAGAGCACAACAAAAATACCTCCCACATAATGGTAAGGCATTAGCTAGATGAAGACACCACTGCCACTAAAGTTTTACCATTATGTGGGAGGTATTTCTGCCGCACCTTGTTTACATATTATAATTTTGATTGTTCCTTAATTAGAATGTACATAGAGCCCTGCCAATACCTCATGAATAATGAACCTACTCAGTTTTCATTGCAAGGAAAGGAGAGAAAAGACACAAGACACAGTTTGGTATCAGTAAGAAAAAAACAAATGGGAAAACAGAGGAGGTGGTAATGCTTTCATGTGTTTAGCATCTACTTCAGTGAAATAGAAAAAATTTGTCAGTTTCAAATCTTTTCATTTGTACCCCCTTATTTCTTTAAATAATGACTTGCATCCATTCTTATGATTGTCATTTCAATATTTTGTTAAAGTTGTTAAGCTCAAATATTTAATGATGTAACAAGGGAATTTCCATGACTATTTTATAGTTGTAGAACTCACAAAGAGCTTATTCGATCACTAACTAAAGAATTATGATTCATTAGAAAATGTGAATAGCAAAATCATGAAAGTTTTCACAGCTATTTCTAGTAAATATTTCTTTGTTTACTACCCTAGATGATGAATCCATCAATTCAATTTATGAGTTGCTTAGTTAGCCAGAGTCATTCACTAAATTTTTGACACACATTCCATGTCCTTTCAAGATGTAGGTGATCATGGTACCACAGCTTCCTATTTAATATATTTAAACTCAGCATTGTCAAGATTGTTTTGGGGAAAATATAGTGAAGTGGTTTCCCAATACCTTCTCGACAGTCTTAAATTCAGAGTTATCTTTCGACTAAACTAGTTACCAGCCAAAGCTAGAGAGCCTTGTCTGCCCTGTTATTTCATTCCCAGCTGGTGGTAGAGAAGTGGGTTTATACCTTCCCAACTGTCCCAGACAGAGTTTGAACTCAATTTGCTGATTCCAGCCTCCATGTGATTAACCATTAAACTACCTACACTTTCCAGAGCAACATACTGGTTTGTGGTAAGACAACAGTGAGGTGATCTTAAATAAGAAATTATTATAGAGGGAATGAAACGTTCGCCCACTATAACAAATAAGGGCTGTAAACAACGAAAAGATTCCCATCAACAAAGTGGAGGATCCAACCCTGTATATCAACAATGAAAATGAAAAAAAAAAAAAAAATACAAGACAATGTTTAACTGACGTCATTAAGAAGAACGTCTAGCAATTAAGCAAGACACTGAGAAAATTCTAATATCTGGTTAAAGACTCTGATAATGGGGAATACTGGTAGATATAATCAATGCAAGAAAACTGTATAGGAAATAAGGGAAAAAAAATGTCAAAATCTAATGGAAGGAGATACCAATTTAACTATTCAATTACTTGTTAATTAAAACTACTAAGCACTAATTTTCAGGCTAAAATAATAATAAAAGATAATTTCAGGCTAAAATAATAATAAAAGATAATTTCAGGCTAAAATAATAATAAAAGATAATTTTAACTGACTTGACAAATCTTTCTGAAAAATTAAATAACCAGCACATCTTCCCCTCTAGAGTGCATTCCACATATTGAATTGGAAGAAACCAATTTTTATTTAATAAGGATTTTAAATTAAAAGAGAAAAAAAAGGTGGTGGGGGTAATTTACTAAATACCATATATTTATCTAGCTCTTGATTATTTCCTTACACAGGAATGTGAAAAAACACTCAGTACCTTCATACTGAAAACGGAATTGTTTTCTCATTAACTTTTTATTCAACTTTTACATTTTAACTAATTCCACATATTAGTGATAATGGAATAAACAAATGCTTACCCCAAACGGTGGTCGCATCATTGGATTAGGTTGTGATTGTGAAGTTGGATTTGTACCCTGCAAAGAGAAGATTTTTTTTTTTTAAATAAGTGAAATAATGTTGAAAAAGAAAAATGCCACCTTCAAAACTACTTCATTCAACACTGATAAACTCAAATATGCCCTTGCATAATGAGAGAGATGGGAAAAAAAAAAAAAAAAAAAAAAACTTATCTGAGCAAATTATTATCCTTCACAAAAAAGGTAAAAAGCAAGTAAATCCGGCCTTTCTTAAAATATAACCACAGGTAAATAAAAATTCAAATAGCACTTAAATTACTGAAATAGATTTTTTTTTTTTAGGCTATATTAGATTTTTTAAAATTTCAACATCCCAAAAGATACTTGCCCAGAATGTTCAAAAGCAAAGGTCCATTATTGTGTCTTTAATAATACAAATGTTTAACTTGTGAAAAGTTATAGTCATATGGGTCACTTAAATTTTTTTTTTTACTATAAACTCTTTTTTTTTATATATATATATATATATATATATATATATATATATATATATATATATATATATATTTTATTTAATAAATAAATAAAACTAAAGACAACACTTGAAAAGGTGTGGAATAATTAAAATAAGCAGACATCTGTTGTCAGTGATAATTCAAAGTTTCCGAGATATAGTCTATTAATAATAACAGTATTTGATGAAAGATTAAATTTATACATCAATTATAATCATTAGAGCATTCACATTATGTATGTGATGAATTAAATTTCTCTCAATATGCAGCCAATTTAACACAGTTCCTCAAGGCAAAAAGTAAATAAAATAAGATACAGAGTTATTAAAACTTTAATTGCAAAACTAGACAATTTAGACTCCGCTATTTGATGGAAATTGAAATGATTAGGAGAAAGATAAAGTGAGCGCAGCAATTATGAGATGGATGATAACATTATCATCATTAAGCACAATTCAGGTTTTTGATACCTTTGGAATATGGATTGTTTGTTTAACAGCATACGAACTACTTATAGACCATGTAATGCTGAAATTTAATTTTATTGAGAGTTTTGAAGTAATAAAAAGATATTATTTTGCTTTCACAGATCAAGGAGTGGCACAATTGCTTCAAACATGTCCACACCTCAGTGGAGAGTGAGGCAAACGCTAGCAGGCCATCCACAAGCTGAAACAAGGAGCTGATTGAGAGGGTTTGGTGAATTGCAATGGAAGACAGTAGTGTAACAATCCAAAAAATTGCTCACAGAGTTCAAAAAGGCACAGGTTCAGTGCATTCCATTTTAATGGAGGATTTGTGTATGCGGAGAGTGTTGTCGAAATTTCCCTACTGATTCCATCCACATAATCCAAGCTTTCCTGGTCAAAAACAAAACATGTTCAACAGGTGCCTTATTCTCTCAACTTGACACCATGTAACTTCTGGCTCTTCCCCAATATAAAAACCAATGCTGAAAGGGAAGCAATTTGAGTTGCAAGGGGAAATTATGAAACAAGCAACAATAGAGCTCCATAGAATTCCAGATGTATTAACAGCAGTGGTGGAACTGCTGGCAGAAGTATGTAAACTCTAAATAAAATTTGTGAAATGTACAAAATTTTTTCATGCCTAAAGTTTGGATACTCTTTGAACGCACCTTATATATTGAGAAAAACAAAAAAAAACTGATTTCTTTTTTCTTATGGCTGATTAGTGGTTCAACACCAAGACATGTAGAATTTTGTTGAAAATTAAGTATTAGACCATTACAAAGTCTTCTTCATTATGCACAAATTAGAGTCACAAGTAAGATATATAGTCAAAAGGGAATTAAAGAGAAAATACAAAGATATATTGTGCTTTTACCAATTGTATAAGATTTTGTCTGTTTCACAATGATTTTTTTTTAAATGAAAAATAGCAGTTTTAATATGAAGTTGCATTACCTGTAGCATCAATCTAAGAAAAGATTTTATTAATCTTATGCAAAAAACCAACCAATGCAAAGAAAAGTTTAAAGTATTAAGTACACGAAGAAGCAAGTGTTTAACAATATAGCCAGTTATATGACACCAATATGAAATTTTAAACTTGACCAATAAAAGGACGAAGTTATGAATATTACCTTCACTTAAAATTATCATGATAGAAAGTCACATCAAACTGAATTCAGTGATTAAACAGCATTAAAAATATTAATTTGATTAACCTATTTAGAAACTGCTATTGAGATTAAAAACCCCGGGGAGGGAGGGGGGGTTTGTAAGAATGCTGTGCAGAACAGAGAGACAAGAAAAAACTGGAACATGATTTCTAATATAGAAATGATAGACAGAAAAGTAATAAAAAGTACAGCTGAGGAAATTAAGCAAAGGACAAGAATTTAACTTTTCTACTCATATTAGGAAATATAGTCTTGAATAAGACGTAAAAGAAAATTTGACTCTCAAATTACATTTATTACATCTTTTTTAATGCCTTATGTGGAAACAAATGCTGAAGCAGTTATGAACTAACAGGAAAGAGAGAGGCATTAAACTTAGGTACCTTCATGAGATCGCTAAAAGCAGAGTATAGCAGGATGAAAAAGACACCAAACTTGATGAAAACAAAATTTTAGCGTCTAAATGCTTGTTATTATTGAGAGGAAAGAGCAAAGTTTATTTTAATTAGCTTTTAAAATTTTTCCTTCTTTTTAGAACATTCTAAATTTTGATTAAAAAAACCGTGTTTCTCCATGTATCACCAAAACTAGTAAAATAACATAAAATCTTAGCACGTTTTTTTCTATATGACACACATTAATTTGGAAAATCTTGCAAAAATAGAAATAATTGTTGAATTTTAATGAAACTTTCAGAAACTATTCACAAATGATGGAACTTATTATAAATATGTTTTTTTTTTGTTTTTTTTTTTTATTGAAGTCATGGCAGAAATATTTTTTTTTCATATGTATTACCCACCTCCTAACTAACTGTATGAAAACTCTATAATTTCAATTTTGGGAAGATTAGTGATTATATTAGTTAAAAGCACAAGGCTTTGAGGAAACCAAATCATGTTTTGTTTTTTTTTTTTTTTTTTTTTTTTAGTTGGACCACCTCTACCTGAATATCATCTCTGAATTGTATCATACAAAACTCAATAAAACAAAAATATTATTTAATTTCAAAAGCTTTTAATTGCTTTTATTTATTTCAATGAACATGGACAATAGTCTGAAAGCAAAGATATTTTGATGAAAAATGAATTTTTAAAACAATTATTTGTTATTCCTGAAATATTTTATTATTTTTACATTAAATGTTGTTAATTCTTCTAAAATTAGGGGAAAAATTGTAAAATTTAACGAATGTTGTTATTAAGAAGATATATATTTACAGATTATAATTTCCAAAGCTTTTTACAAAGTAACGAACAATAGCATATAAAAAAAATATAATTTGTGTCAATAACACTGTAAATCAAATCTACGGAAGACCAGAAATATTATGCGTGCAATAAAATAAAAAAAAAAAGTCACTTGGATTGAGTTTCCGTCTAGTATTTAACTTAAATACTGAATTTCTAATACAATCATTTGTTATTTCTTTAATTATAATAGATTTTTACATTTAAGTTGTTAAAATATTATAAAATTAGTTAAAAGCTGCATTCAGTTTCATAAATGTCCTTTTAAGATATAGATTTACTTTTGTGAAACACATGCAAAGAAGTTAATTTTTCAATTTAACTAAGCAGGGTACCTACAAGTATCAGTATCATCTTATGAAATTTATATGATCTTATTTTTATATTAATCTCAGTTAGGACATTTTTCCATAAATGAAATATCAAAATTAATAATAAAATGAATGGAAATACAAATAACACAGTAAAATGTAATAAATGTATATAAAATTATAATGTTTTATGTACACCTCTGATAAAATTTCATAAGAAAGGTATCTATAAATTAATTAGATACCTTTTTTATGAAATATGAAATTTAATGTCACTCTTAACAGTCTTATTTTGATTTCTTTATAATATATTTTTCATAAAGCATCGTAAACATAAAGGTGAAAGCTAAGTAAAAAAAAAAAAAAAAAAAAAAAAAATAATATTAGAGCGCTGAAAGTTTTCCTTAAAAATAACAAGGTAAAAAATTTGTTCACTTAAATGTAAATTATTTCACTTTTCTTCTTCCATAGAACAAATTAGCCTCACAGAATCCGTCAATATGTTATTCATCACCTGTCAAGTGATGCGAAAGTTTATGACCTGCTTTGTTTTATTTCAAATCACATCTTTTTGGTGCAAAAGCTAAGTTAAGCTTTGTTCAAAATATTTTAAATAAACATTATAATTTCTGATTTTTTTAAAATAAGTTTTGAAAAAATGATAATTGATATTTAAAAGAATTTCAAAGTGAGATTTCCAGTTTTTTATAAAATGGAAAAAAATGGTCAATTTTGCTGACTCAAAAAAAAAAATTTTTTTAACGAAAATTTCGGACGTGCTAAGAACGATTAAAAAATGTAAAAAAATACCCCCGAAATACTTTGATCTTTCCTCTTAATAATAACAAACATTTAGACGATAAAATTTTGTTTTTGTCAAGTTTGGCATCTTTTTCATCCTGCTATGCTCTGTTTTTAGCGATCTCGTGAAGGTACCTAATTACACACTATATGAACCATCCTCCATCTTATGAACTACAGACAAGAATCAGAATAGAAAAATGAGAACAAAAAGTTCCCCCTTCCAAATGACATATGCTTTAAAAAAAAAAAAAAAAAAGTGCGGTGAAGAGTAGCCTGTAAATCAATCAGGTTTTAGAAGAAATGTGCCACCTTTTCAAAAAGGCATATGCTTAAGCAGATCAGAACACAGCTAAACTTGTAAAATTATGAAGCTGGTTACATGTTCAGAATATTATATTAGGTTGGTGCAAAAATAATGACGTAAGATTGTCGTTTTTTGAAAAAAAAAAAAAAAACATTATTACGTCATTATTTTTGCACCAACCTAATATAT